CAGTGGCTGGCGGTAACAACCAGATAAAAGTGAGACTGCCAGATCAGGGAAAACAGAACTCTGAGCAAGACAGAATTACTAAAGTGGAAAGTCCCATTTTGGTTCTCCATCTTCGCACTCTGTTCCTCCCTAAAAAAACCTTATTCAAAACCCCAAGCACCTCCCAAGGTGACACTACCATGTGGGTCTAGCCATCTAGGCTCCGCATATCAATGACAGAGAAAATCGAGAGGCTTGTACCAATTCTTACTGAGCGTGCCTTTTTAGGACATTGAAACAGAGGACCCTTTTCTGATCATACAAAAAAGCTGGAGCCAAACTTTTCCCTTGCTAAATTCACACGCCTAATTTCCTATTCTAGGTAGTCAGTTCCACTTCTCAACCTCGCAACACAAATTCGGCAATTTTTTCCTCATTAAACGCAAACAAATTCAGGAATTTCACTGGTATAAAAACACACAAGAGACAATGTTCCGTCAGTCACCTACCTTGAGGAAGCGGCCTCTCTTGTTCTCCCCAATATCGAAGTAGAACACCTGCGCGCGAGCGTGCCGCGACCAAAATCAGCAAACATAGACAGCGCCAAAAAAAAAAAGAAAGAAAAAATCAGCGGGCGGCGGAATCAATCGCGACCTTGGTGTCGAGGCGGAGCTCCTTGCTGAAGGCGTCGCGCTCGTCGGTGCGGATGTAGTAGTCGAAGAGGTCGAGGAACCAGGCGACGCCGGCGACGGGGACGATGATGGTGGAGCGCGTGGAGGACGTCTTCTCGGAGATCTTCAGGTACCTCCCCCTCGGGTTCTCCTTCAGATCGAAGTAGAACAGCTTGTGCTCGAACTGCAGCGTCTTGCTGACGAGCTCCACGTCGCCCCCAACGCCGCCTCCCCCTCCTCCTCCTCCCCCTCCCGCGACACCGGGCCCCGCCATGACGCCCCCGCCTCCTCCTCCTCCCCCGCCGCCGTCCATCGCCGCCGCCGCCGCCGCGAACTAGGGTTTTGAGCTAGGGTTTGGGTTTAAACTCGCTCTCAAACTCGAGTCGTCGAGTCGAGGAGAGGTGGGGATGTGAGGTTGGGAATTGGGATTAGATCTCGCGAGGTGGAGAGGGGGTGTGGGGGTTTACCCTTTTGGGGATTCCTCCACGTCACTGACGGGTGGGGCCGGGGTCAGGTGGGGCCCGGGGTTCGGTGGGCGGGGGTAGGGAATCGGTGGGCGGGGGGAAGGGGGGGTGCTGACCGTGTGCGGGGGGTGGTGGCGTGGCGGGATGTGATTGGTCGGGCGAAGGACGCTGATATGACCGGAAAGGGTAAGGTTTTTGTACTGGTACGTGTGCTGCTACAGTTGCGGTTTGGGGGTAGAAATTGTTTGGACAATGACAATCGTGCTATTACTGGAGTATAGTCCCTTTGTAAATTTCAGTTTACGTAGGATACGAGTAAATGGTTTGGACAATAACTGTCGTGTTGTTACCAAGCATACTCCCTTAGCAAATTATAATTTGTGTAGACTAGAAGTAAATGATTTGAACAATAAATGTTGTGTCGTTATTGAGGTACTCCCTCCGTTTCATAATATAAGGGATTTTGAAGGGATATGAGTATACGACACATCCTATGACAACGAATCTAGATAAACTCCTAACCAGATTCGTCGTCTTAGAATATGTCACATCCCTCCAAAATTCCTTATATTATGGGACGGGGGGAGTATACTCTTCCGTCCCCCAAGAAATAAACCTAAGAAATAGATTTTTTTAACGACTCGCACCAGACAGTGCGAAATTCATATTGATAAGTAGGAAAAAAATTATAAGATTACAACACTGGGAGGTCGTAATTAGGAAAACAAAGAAAATTATACCACCACCCACGCACCAACAGCACCAACACACAGACCCTGGAGAAGGCTAGCACCGAACCGGCCGCCACTAAGCCAACAAAGGATGTACAACCGAGATTGTCCAAAACTCAACCCTAACAACTAACACAGAAGCCTACTCTATCCATGTCTTTGGGATTGAGTGGGAGAGGGTGAGAGAGAAGAATGGAACCGCTCTCCCCCCTAGGCCCTCCAACATGGCCAACTTGCATAAGCTAAGGCGCCGATATAAGAGAACAGGAATCTAGAGCAAGCTTGCAACGATTGTTTGGGAGGTTTCGACAAGGGAGCTGCTTAGACGATGTCTCTAGGGAGATAACGACAAAAGCACCGCTGCCGCCGTCCGTCAAGGTCTTCAAAGAGAACAGTGACTAGGTTTTCACCCGGTAGCCCCACAAGAGAGGATGGGATAGCACGACAACACCCTCAAGAGGAAGTGACGCTCTGAACGCAATCGTTGCCAGCTCGACCAAGGCCGGACTAGGTTTTCACCCACCGTCTGCCGCTTGCCAATCCATCGCTGACACATCAATGCTCCACTGTTGTCTAACCTCCGCGGACATGTGGGCACCGCTGCACCGACGCCCCACGCCGGCTATCCTCCGCGTGCCGCCACCCTCGTCGCGTCGTGCCGACCTTCGCTACTGACCGCACCTCGCACCGCGCCGACCTTTGCTGCCGGCCGCGCCTCCTCGCCTTTGTCGGCCGCACATCCCACCCGACTGCAGCTCCCGCCGTCGTTGTCGCGAGCTCTGCCGCTGCCGCTGGGGCCAACTATGCGCAGCACCTCTTCGCGTCGGCCGCGCCACCCAGTCACAGTTGTGCCTCCCGTCGACCAGCCACCGCCGCCACGAGGTCCGCCACGAGGTCCGCCACGGCCACCTCCTCCACTAGCCACCTCGCACCTTCGCTGGCCGATGCCGACACGCCTCCTCGCGTGCGCCTCCATTGGCCATCGGTCCTCTTTGCCCGCCAGCCGCAGCCTTCGGCCCGTCGCGCCTCCCGCCTCCACCGGGCTGCCGTTGCAGCGAGCACCGCCGCTGTCGGGGTCGGGGTCGACCATTCCTAGCCATCGGCCACCAGGGGTGGGGGGGGGGCGCAGATCCACTCCCTAGGGGGAGCGGATCCATCGCCCCGCCCCGTCGACCGCCACGGCCACCGCCTCTCGACCGGCGCACGCCGCTTCGCCTCCCACACCAAGGAGGAGCTCCACCGTCGGCTTGCTCTCCCCGTCGCCGCCTTCTCGGCCGGCTGCGCGGTTTTCGGCGATGAGCTCCAGCGGTGGCTAGGCGGCTAGTGGGGAGGGAAGGTGGCGGCACGAGCAGCTAGGGTTTTGCCCCCCGAGCCGCTTGCGTGAGAGCGGCACGAGGACGAGTTTGGTTGTTATCCTCCCTAAGACTGGATATGAGATATTATAATACAATGAATTTAGATAGGAGCCTATCCAAATACGTTGTACTATGATATATCACATCCAGTCTTAAGTTTGTTTTTTGTGGGACGGAGAGAGTACTCCCTTAGCAAATTCTAGCTTGTGTAAAGTATGAGTAAATGGTTTGGATAATGATTGCCGTACCGTTACTAGAGTATACTCCCTTAGCAATTTCTTATTATTCCATTGTCATAATAAACCTTATTATTAGTTATTAATAAAGTGAAAGATCGGCAATGTCAAAAATGTCAAATTTTAATAATGTCAAAAATGTAAATGTAGTGTTTGGTTTGATTTCTTACCAATTGCTGGTGTGTTTTGTTAGTGGAAGATTCCGAAATTACCAAATTTTGGTAGAGTTTGGTAAGATCACAATGGTAAAATCTTGTTTAATTTGTTAACGTACTAAAATTTGATAATGCCAAAAATCGATAAGGTTTGTTTTGGCATTGAAGTGAACAAGCTCTCAATATAGTATATAAAATATATTCTCCTGTTCTAAAATATAGTAAATTTCTAAAACATTCTAAATTTAGCCTAAAACGTAGTAGTAACAGCTTCGCTACATATTTTCTTATCTCAACGAGTATAGATTCTTTAGAGCAAGTTTAATATCATCTACTCATCATCACAAAGTTCGTGTGTTTCATTCCACTCCAAGCTCCTGAGAGTACTAGATTTGCGCGAAAGCCAAATTACGGAGCTCCCTCAATCGGTTGGTAAAAATGAAACATTTGATATTTCTACAAACGCTAAGGGTACAATTGTATAAAGAAAACATATCCTATCCACACAAGCCTTCGCATACACATACCGTGCACACCAACTAACAAATATCAAAAAAATATAGAAAATTTTTATATATATACTTTGGTAGTATTATATTTATATGTAAAGTTTTACCTTCAAATTCATTATACATATGAAGAAAAAAACAAAATTATGATAGATTTATACTCTTAAAACTATCAGAATTTTTATACTTTTTACAGCTAAAATATAATAAATTTGAGGATAAGACTTTATATATAAGTGAAATATATGAAAAGTAAATATATAAATTTTTTTTCTATTTTTTTATATTTATTAGTTGGCGTGTATACGAAAAGCTTAAAACTATCAGAATTTTTATACTTTTTACAGCTAAAATATAATAAATTTGAGGATAAGACTTTATATATAAGTGAAATATATGAAAAGTAAATATATAATTTTTTTTTCTATTTTTTTTATATTTATTAGTTGGCGTGTATACGAAAAGCTTGTATGTATAGAGTATGTTCCCCTTAATAAAATGTGAAATGGTTGAAAGTCCGCCATTCGCTTGTAGGGCTGGAAATCGACCAGAGACGAGGCTGTGTATCACAACCCAGGCACAAAAAAAAAATCATGTCTGACTAAGCTCCAGGCTGTGTTAGGCGGTAAGGGATGGGGACTAATTCCTCCCAAACGAAAAACGGAGCGGTCCATTAGCGCATGATTAATTAAGTATTAGATTTTTTTTTTGAAAAATCGATCAATATGTTTTTTAAGCAACTTTTGTATAGATTTTTTTTTTCAAAAAACATACCATTTAACCGTTTGAAAAGCGTGCGTGTGGAAAAAGAATTATGTGGGTCGCAACTTTAGGTGCCGAAGGCAGACTTAGTGCCTGAATTTTGTACACAACTTGTCCATTCTCTCAAGGCGGCCGAACTGTAAAAATGTGCTTCATTTTTATACGTCAGCTGCACTCCAGTTACATTGTTAAGGGTCAAGTGATGGCCAGTTACATACTTACATATTGTCAATTGTGCACTCATTGAACCACCACAAAAAAAAATTGCACACTAATTACATTTCCAATCTTTCCCTGCATATTTTTTTACTATAGTTCTCACTCCTACAGAGCTACAGACACTGACAATCAACTCCTGTCTATATAGACATAAAAATTAGAATAAAATATCTGTTCATTGACTATAATCTCCGACTCACTAGATAAACCATTCAAGGACAATGCATGATGGGAACAAATTGAGTAGAGGATAACTTCAGCATAATCAGATGAACTTGCAACTCACCAGGACTTTTTTTTTGTTTAATTGATCAACAGAAGTTGCATAGTTATCTGTCACGAGATTACGATGTTTGGGATATGACAGATCTTGAACCAATCCTTGCCTGTATCTTTCCTGCAGTTTTCGTTCAACTCAGAGCTACAGGCAGTGACAGTTAACTCCTCCAGAGCAGTCAAATGTTGCAAACCTTTTGGGATCGAGACCAACTTTGGGCAGCAACTTATTTGAAGAGATTCAAGTGCTACAAGATCACCAATCCATTCTGGAAGCGCGTCCAATTCAGTGCAATTGCTGATCTTCAGCTTTCGCAGAGTGGTAAGGTACCTGATGGGTTCTGCAAGAACACGTAGCATTTCGCAGTATTCGATGGTTAGTTCCTCAAGTTTTGGCCTGTGCTGCAACAATTTCCACTCACTGGATGATACATCGGACTTTCTGATCCACAATCTCCTCAGAAGTGATGCGGATGTGGAAGATGATGATCCAAACATCTTCCTGACTGACAATATCTCGCTGCTGTCGGAGATTGACAAATCTGTTATAGCATCTGGAAGGCATGGTTTCGGCCTGAGCTTTGGGCATCCTGTTGCGGTTACAGTTTTAAGAACAGGAAACATGGATCCTTCTGGCTGAGTAGCTCTGTCATCTGTCGCTGCTGAAGTTGGCCAGGTCTCTAGGTTAGGCATGTCTTCAAAATGGAGTTCCTTCAGTGACTGGTACAGCACACATTTCTGTCTTTTCACAAGAATTTCAGAGCTCATGCTATGGACACCGGCCATGTATCGGAGATGAAGCGATTGGAGATAAGGGATGTGTCTGAGGGGTGGTAGGCAGCTACAGTTAGGAATGTTGCTTAAATCTAATGAGACAAGATTTGGGAGCCATGATTCCATGCTCTTCATCATCCAACTGGGAAATCTAGTGCCCATGTAACCATCTATTTCAAGGACCTCAAGATTTTCGGGTGGCACAAGAACTTCAAGAAATGTTTCAACATTTTCAAAATCATCCGCAGAACAAGGAATGGTCCACAACAAGGTCAACTTGCTTAGTTTTTTCTTATTTCTCCAGTTTGCTCTTTTGGCAGCAGTTGTCAGATCCATCTTGTGTGACCAACATTCAATCCTGAGCTCACCAGTTAGATTGTTTAGATCTTTCAGCTCCGTGATACTGCTATGCTTGTCACCTATCATGAGTAAGGACAATGTTTCAAGTTTAGTCCATCGCCCAAATCCATTAGGTAGTTGTTTTAAAGATCGACATTGGTCATTTCTTAAATGTTTCAGATTGGTGATCCTTGTCATGCCATCAGGTAACTTAGCTAGGTTTTCACAGCCAACAAAGTTCAAACTCTCTAACATCATGAGGTTGGTTATAGACTCAGGCAGCTTACGTAGACTCCAGCACTGGAACAAGATCAGGGTCTTCAAACTATGAAGATTGCCAATTGATTCAGGCAATTCCTCTAGACTAAGATTCCATGAGAGATCTAAAGTCTGCAAGTTTGGGAGATGACTAGTTGATACAGGCAATGCCAAACTGCTTGCATGGTGTGATAAAATGAGTATCTGAAGTTCATGAAGACCACCAATGGATCCTGGTAACTCTGACAGACTACTACAGTGAGACAGATCCAGAATATGCAAGCTCTTAATGCGACCTATTGAGGTTGGGATTGATTCAAGATCAGTGCATTGTGATAAATTCAGGTGCAACAAATTTGAAAGGTTACCAATATTTTTGGGCAGTGCTTGGAGAACACCACATCGTGAAAGGTTCAAGAAATGTAAATTTTGCAGGCTGCATATAGTGTCAGGTAGAATTTCAAGGTTGCCACATCCTTTCAAGTTCAGCAAATGCAAACTTTGGAGTGTACCAATAGAGCTAGGTAATGTCACAAGGAAACTGCAAAGGGACAAGTTAAGATCTTGTAGGTTTTGAAGATGTCCTATAGAATCTGGCAAGCTATGGAAGTTGCAAGCTGAAAGATTCAAGATTTCTAGGTTCTCAAGGGCACATACTGACATGGGCAGCACATTGAGATTTATGCAATTGTATAAATGAAGAGTTTGCAAATTGTGGAGACTACTGATGCAATTGGGCAGAGTACTGATAAGGGATGAAGAAAGGTCCAAGTATCTCAAATGCTTCAATTTACCAACCGATTGAGGGAGCTCCATAATTTGGCTGCCGCGCAAATCTAGTACTCTCAAGAACCTGGAGTGAAGAAATAAATTAATGTCAAGACTACGGCCCCAGGAATGAAACGCACGGACTTTGCGAAGCATGCTCCAAAGAACATCGGTCGACCCCATATCATCATGCAATGATGCATAGCGGCAAGCTTCTGTCCTCCCATTGACTCGCTTAGCGCTTATGATCTGAACTTCATCCCCGGCAACAGACTGAGCAAGGTCATGCACCAAGTCGTGAATTTTGTACTTAACTCTTCCATCAACCTCTAATCCTTTCTTTGACAAATCATGTTGGTCTACCTCTTGAAGGAATGACATCCACAACAAGTGCTCAAAACAGTCGTCCGCTTTATCAGAAACCGGCTGGCAACCATACTTTGAGGGTTCAACAAAGCCAAGAGCAACCCATTGCTGAATAAGCTTACCCTTGTCAATCTCATGGTTTCGAGGAAACACCGAGCAATACGCGAAGCATTGCTTCAGAACGGGTGGCATTTGATCATAGCTGAGTTTGAGAGATGGCAAGATGGTCTCCTCCTTATCCAGCTGCCAAATCTCACTGTCCCTGACAGCAATCCATGATTCCTCATTCCTCTTGAACCTCAGCATGCTCCCAAGGGCCTTCGCCGCCAGCGGCACGCCGCCGCATTTGGGGACAATCTCCTTCCCTATCCTGACCAATTTTGGGTACAATTCCTCATCTGCTTCCTCAAAGGCCTTCCTCTTGAACAGCTCCCAGCAATCCTCATCAGAGAGGCTCTTGAGCATCAATGGCGGCACGGTGCCCACCATCATGCCGATCCTCCGGCTCCGCGTCGTCACGATGATCTTGCTGCCCCGCTTGCCGCCCCTGAGGAGCAGCCTCAGCCGCTCCCACTCGTCGTGGCTCTCGCTCCACACGTCGTCGAGGACCAGCAGGTACTTGTTCCCCGTGAACGCCATGGACAAGAAGCGCGCGATGGCCTCCAGGTTGGTGGTGGTTGTGGTGGCGAGGTCGCACCTCTCGCTGGGCGCGGCGACGATGGGGTGCACGGCCTGGACCAGCGTGGCGAGGCTGAAGCCGGCGGACATGGAGACCCAGATCCGGGGGTCGAACACCTCGTCGTTGGCCCTCCGGTCGTTGAACGCCAGCTGCGCCAGCGTCGTCTTGCCGAGGCCGCCGATGCCGACGATGGGGATGACGGAGACGCCGTCGTCGTCGTCGTCGTCGTCGTCGCCCGCCGCGTCGAGGACCATCCTCATGAGCCTCTCCTTGTCCGCGCTCCTCCCCACCGTCTTGGCCTCGTCGACCATGGAGATGGTCTCGCGCATGAGTGGGACGGAGGGGAGCTGCCGCGACGCGGGCGGGCGGGCGTCGGGGCTCAGGGAGAACCTGTCCTTGGATGCGGCGACGGCGCCCAGCTCGCGCCTGAGGGACCTCAGCCTGTGCGCCATGGCGAACGAGCGCGGCGTGAGGCCGCCGCACACGGAGCAGTCGCCCCCGCCCTCGCCGCGGCGGAGGTCGGTGTGGCAGGCGTCGAGGAAGTCGTCGATGTCGTGGGCGACGTCCCTGAGCCTGCGGAGCCAGTCGCGGACGGCGGCGTCGGCGAGCACGGCGCGGATGGTGGCGAACTGGGCCTCCATGGCCGCGAGGTCCGCCCTGAAGGTACAGAGGAGCGCGAGCTCGTCCCAGACGGAGGAGCCGAACTTGGTCAGCACCTGCCTCACGATGGTCGAGGCGAGAGCACCCTCCGCCATGGCTGCGCGCTAGAGTGTCTCTCTCTCTCTCTCTCTCTCTCTCACAACTCGCTCAAATCACAATGGATTGGAAAGTCAAATTGGGTGGACGAAGCTAACGCTGTGGAGTAGCTAATAATCATTCGGGGAATGGCGCCTGCCTAATTCCATTTCGCTCTAAATAATACTCCAACAAGTATTTTTTTTCTTAACATCCTTATAAATAATATACTATATCTGTTTCATATTATAACTCGTTTTGACTTTTTTCTATGCCTTCGTACTTTTAAATTTAACTAAGTTTATAGCAATGTTTTTTTAACATAAGACAAACATAACATCAAAATATATCTAATGATACATTTATATATTTTTATCATAAACTTAATAAAATTTAAAGAAATTTAACTTAAAAGGTCAAAACAACTTATATTACAGTATAATATAATGAAACAAGGGGAGTAGTACTACTCGCTAGAGTGTCTCTCTCTTTCTCACAACTCGCTCAAATCACAATGCATTGGAAAGTCAAATTGGGTGGACGAAGCTAACGCTGTGGAGTAGCTAATAATCATGAGATATTTAACTATTCATTGCGGGAATGGCGCCTGCCTAATTCCATCTCTCTAAATAATACTCCTCCTCTTTTTCTTCCTAAACTTCCCTGAAAATAATATACTACCTCCGTCCCATCCCTTTGAGTTTTTTTAATGTTTGATTATTTATCTTATTAAAAAATAGAACTATTATTTATTTTGTTTGTGATTTGCTTTATTATCAAACATACTTTAAGTATGACTTATCATGTTTTATATTTGCACTAATTTTTCAAACAAAACGAATGGTCAAACGTTGCAAACAAAAAATCAAAACATCTATTATAGGATGGAGGTAGTACTCGATAACTCGTTTTGACTTTTTTTCATGTCTTAGTACCTTTGAAATTTAACAACTTTATATGAAAAAATAGCAATGTTTTTTTTAACATAAGATAAACATAACATCAAAATATATCTAATGGTATATTTAGTGAGGTTAATTTGGTGATGCAGATGTTGTTATATTTTTTTCATAAACTTAATAAAACTTAAAGAATTTAACGACTTATAATATAATGAAACGAGGAGAGAGTACTGCTCCTACTCTACATACAAAATAGGAAGTGCTTTTATAAATATATACATCGTTTTTTTTCTTAAGAAATGCATTGGTTTTTAATTATATGGAAGATTCGATGGAGATGGAGACCGGCCACAAATGATTTGGCTCACTAAACTGCTATTGAAAGATAACTAATTATATGGAAGACTCGACGGAGATGGAGACCGGCCATAACTCATTTGGCTCACTAAACTGCTATTGAAAGATAACTCACGGCCGGGCGAGAAATGATTCATTGTGTCGACGTTTGATGTCTCGACTACGGTATTTGGATAGTATGGGGATCGCCGATGCTAGGATATACGCGAGACTGAGGTAAAAGAGATAGAGACAAGGATTTTTATACAGGTTCGGGCCCCTGAGTTGTCAGGTAATAACTCTACATCCTGTTAGCCGAAGCCGGTATTGCTCTTATTCACCATAATCACACCAGTACAATATGTGGGTAGCCTATCTAAGTGTTGTCGACATATCGGTCTGAAGGTCTGACTCGTAGTCGACAACAGGGTAGTCTTCCTCCTCGAATCCGTGCTCGGCGAGATCAGAGATAGCGCTTTCGTATCTCCTGACGGTATCCGGAAACACCATAGGGGAATAGCCATGCCTATCCCTGAAATCGATATCCGGCGGCGTGTCTTGGCGCATGTAGGCTTGTATGTTGTGGTAGCCTATCTAAGTGTTGTCGACATATCGGTCTGAAGGTCTGACTTGTAGTCGACAACAGGGTAGTCTTCCTCCTCGAATCCGTGCTCGGCGAGATCAGAGATAGCGCTTTCGTATCTCCTGACGGTATCCGGACACCGTAGGGGAATAGCCATGCCTATCCCTGAAATCGATATCCGGCGGCGTGTCTTGGCGTATGTAGGCTTGTATGTTGTGGCTTCTGGTGGGCGTGTGTTGATTGTCATGGGTGTCTTCCATGGTCGTTCTCCTCTCTCCTCCTAGGGGGTCTTGTATTTATACCCATATGTGTCCCCTTATCCAAGTAGAACTAGAGAAATCAATATGGATACAATCCAAGTAGTCCTTGTCGTTTCCATGTAGAACTCTGGTTGTCTTTCCTTATTCGGAACTCCCACCTATATCCGTAGGTTGTTTCCGTATAGGACATAGTATGTGGTGGGTCCTGCCGAGATTTAGTCAACTACTATTAGGTATGTGGTATCCATAACCATGACACATTGGTATACCACATCACCGGAGCTTTCGCTTATTGGTTCCAATTTTTTAAGTGTAGTCAACTACTCCTTAAGTATGTAATAATGCAACTAACGTGACAGTACAGTCATCCAAAAAATAATGAAAAAAATAGTGGGATTCATCTGTCGGTTCCCTTTCTTTCTTTCTTAAACCTCGTTTCCCTTCCATCTCTCTTTCTCTACCCCTAAGGCCCCAACAGGAGAGGGAGGAGGTGGCAGGCGGCCAACTAACTAGAGGAGAAAGAGGGCGGTGGTGGACCTCGGGCGTGAAAGGCGTAGTACGACCTCCGAACAGATGTGGCGGAGGCACCGCGGCCATCTCCTGGCCTTCAGCTCTAAGCTCTTCGATCGGGCAACCACCTCTCAGACGGCGGCACGACCAACAAGCGAGGGCGAGTAAGGGAACAACGACGACGATGGGGAGCTAGATGCCAAGAGGCATTCTGCGAGCCCATTCTTCGTCGATGTGGCATTGGTATGTTTTCCTTGTGGTCAATGGTCGATCTTGCTGAGAAGATGTCCATTGGCTCAACATATGTTGGAATGATCTTAAACATGTCCGTCATGGTCAGGAACGCGACCACAGCTTGGTTGCTGCCACCATTGACGTTGAGTGCAGCCATCAAACACTTGGCGTGCGTCTCTTTGGAACAGTCCGTGGTATCGATGCAGGGTGTGTGGGCCTTGTCCTCACCATATCCCAGCTCCAAGGTGACCGTAGGAATAGGTACCTTATTGGTGTGGCTTGAGCTCGCTGCCATGCGTGCACAACCATCATTGAAGCTTGCCGTCGAGCACTTGGTTGGCATCATAGGCAGCGATGTCTTGGGTGTTGGAGGATGCCGCCTTAAGGTCAGTGGTGGCTGCCTTGGTGGCATCCGCTGTCTCCTAGGAAAGCCTTCCCCCTTAGAGCTTCGATATCTTCAAACTTCTCTAATGCCCGATCAAGCTTATCCTCCATCTTGCACCTGGCATCTATCCATTCCTCAAGAAACAGCCTTAGTGCTTCATCCCTGAATATTTTCTCCTCTTTCATCACAGGCATAACATCTTCCTTGTACACTTCGAACGGGCATGACATTCAATCAAACATGTGGTGAGCGCTGCTCTGAAGAACAGTACTACTCCCCATGCCTAATCCTTTCTCCCTCGCGCTGTTGAGTGATACAGGTGTTCCTCCTCTCTTCCATGCTAAGACACCACGAATCCAACAGCCAGATTATTAGCAACCTTCTTCACTCAAAACAAGCAGTAGCAACTAGCAAGACATACAAGCTTCTGATTGTAGAAAGTATAAACCCTCTTCACTCAACAAGTAGCAGCAAAGAGACACAAGCTCCTGTTTGGTACCGAGAAAATTAAGGAAGACGAAGGAGTGGCTCAAAGTGTACTAAACTTGGTAGGAAGAAGGGGAAGGAGAGAGAGAGATCGACAAGGGTCCATTGCCGGTTCGGTCGACCTGTTCGATTACCTGGAAGTGCAACATTTTTTTTTCTTTTGTCTCTCTCCCTTCAGCTTGCTTGGGCTGATATTTAGGTGAGCTATTGAATTGGCCCCATAGTGCAGCTTACTTGGGCCCTAACATGTATATGATGTCACAACTCGAATTGAGATCATACACACCTGTGAACGACGGGTGGATGATTTTTTTTCCAAAGAAGGGTTTTTTTTTTTATCATGCCTCTACATCCAACTAAATATATGTAGTATTTTTAAATCATGAACTTAGCTCTCAAACAACCCAATCTAAAATTCGCTTTTATAAAGATTTGAATTCAGTAGCTTGGGTGCTAACGACCGGTGGATGACATTCGACCGAATATATCATACGTAGGCACATGAGACGTACGTTCCTCTCATGTGATCCCAATTGCTGCGCCACCTCCACCTCCACATCACATTCACTCGACTCATGCGTCGACGCCGCACGATCCCCATCCCGTTTTAAACCCTATCACGAGCGCCCGCGCCAACCTCCTCCGATCCACGTACACGCGTACACGCCTAATTAAGCTTATATACTTTTCTCCAACCAAACCTGACATGGCGTCGATCGATCCCCTCTTCTATCTCGATTAGTGTCTACACCATGCGGCGCCGCAGCGGCATACGCAGCTTCTGCCACGGCGTCGACTCCACGTCGACCACGATGCAGCGCCGGCTGGTCGGCGCCGACGCGGCGTCGTCGTCTTTCCTCACCGTGCCGACGTCGACGGCGTCGTCCGTGGGCGTCGCTGAGAGCGAGGCGGCGGCGGCGGTGACGCTGGAGCAGATGATCCTGCAGCTTGACCTCGAGGAGGCGGCGGCGAGGAAGGCCCAGCAGCAGCAGCAGCCGCGGCGCGCGTCGTGCGTGAACAGCTCGGACGGGCGCGTGCTCCGGTCGGCGAGGGACGCGCTCAGCCAGTACCCGCGCTTCTCCCTCGACGGCGGCCGCGACGCCATGTACCGCGCCTCCTTCAGCGACCACCACCACTACTACTACCACGACGCCGCCCTCGCCTCCTCCTCCTCCGGCCACCGGAGATCGCCGCCGCCGTGCCGCGGGATGCCGCCGACGGTGGCCGGCGAGAGCGTGGTGTGGTGCAAGCCCGGTGTGGTGGCCAAGCTCATGGGCCTGGACGCTGTGCCGGTGCCGGTCAGGGGAGGAGGGCAACGGAGGGGCGGCGCCGCCGCCACCGCCGGCGGGAGGAGGAAGGCGAGCGGGGCACCGCCGCTGGCCTCGGTGATCGCCGGCGGCGGCGGAAGGAAGCGGAGGGGGAGGAGGACGGGGAGAGAGGAGGAGGAGCTCGAGAAGGAGAGGCTCTTCATGGCGCTGCATGGCTATGACGTGGCAGTGGCCCGCGCGTGCCACGCTGGCGCCCTTCACCCCAGCGTGGCCCCCAACGTCAGTGGGATGGGCAGGGGTGCGGAAGATGGCTGGGGATTTCGACTTCCTCACTGAAATTAATTTGATAATGATAATAATAATAAAATAATGGTTATTATTTTTATGTAGTATATATATATATATAGCAAGTTGTTATAGACACATATTTCCTACAGTATATCCTAATTCTCACATGAATTTTCATGTAAAATCGTCAACATTACTAGCGAATAGCTCTATATTTTCAAAAGAGCTAAAATGATGGTATGTACTGCTGGGTTTTGCTTCTCAGTTTATGGTCTGTTTTTTTAGGAAAAAAATATATTTATAACCTAGCTTACGTATCTGTAAACTTATGAGTAGTTGTTACTCTGTTTATAAATGTTTGATTCCCCTGCATGTCTTGTTCACATTGTATGTCTTGTTCACATTGTGTTCGTGCAGCTAAACTAGCTAATTTTTCTAGATGTTTTAGTGATATTTGTTAATTGGTGTACATGAATACATGGTGTATACCCGTGAGTAGGGGTGGATGTCGAGCTAGCTCGGCTCGGCTCGTTATCCTAACGAGCTAGAAACCTAGCTCGGCTCGGCTCGTCAACAAGCTCGAGCCAGCTCGTTAAGCTCGCGAGCTAGGGGCAAGAGACATAGCCGGCGAGCACGGGGAGGAGGGGAGGAGCTTGACGGTGGAGGAAAAGAGCTCGAGCTCGCCGCCGACCATAGGGAGGAGCTCAACGGTGGAGGGGATGAACTCGACGCAGCTCCGCCGGCACTTGGAGGAGACGAGCTCGAGCTCGCCGGTGGCGTCGGGCGCTAGGGGCGGGCGCCAGCGGCAGGGGCGCTGGATCGCTGGGGGAGAGGTGGAGATCGGCGGCAGCGGGCGCTTGATCTCCCGGCGGCGGTGGGCGTTGGGGGATAGGCGGAGACCGGCGGCGGCGGGCGCTCGATCTCTCATCGGCGGCTGGCGCTGGTGGGGGAGAGGAGGAGACCGGAGACGGCGGGCGCTGGCGGGGGAGAGGCAGAGACCGCCGGCGGCGGGCATTCGATCTCCCGGCGGCGGCAGCGGCGGCGGCTGGGGGAGAGGTGGAGCGGCGGCGGCGGCTAGGGGAGAGGCGGAGCGGCGGCGGCGACTGGGAGAGAGGCGGAGTGGCGGCGGCTGGGGGAGAGGCAGAGTGGCGGCGGCGGCTGAGGAGAGTGGGGAATTGAGTGAAGAGTGAGGACTAGGGTTTGCAGTGTCTTGGGCTTGGGCCTTTTTGTTGTATTGGGCTTTTGGGCTATGATGGAGTCCTAGCTCATTAAGGCTCGCGAGCCAGCTCAAGCTGGCTCATTATCTCTAACCAGCTCGGCTCGTTAGAAAATTCAAACGAGCCGAGCCGAGCCAAGCGAGCTAACGAGCCACGAGCTTTCTGGCCACCCCTACCCGTGAGGGCTTATGTGTCCAAGTTAACTAGCTCATATATGTTTGCGGTTTGCACTAATATGCAGTCATTGATATAGCTGACAAGCTAAAAGTCCAAGATTAACTTGCCCTGCCATTTTTTATTAGACGACCCTGTTCCTCTATTAGTACCAACATTTAACGAGGTTAAAGTGCATAATTACTCCTTTTATGGCTAAGAGTCCAGATGAATATTTTTCACCTGGCAGTCCAGATGCATAACCATTTCTTCTTGAGCAATGAACGTGCTAAAACTTCATTATCTTCGTCACCTAAACTGCATCGCTTAATTCATTCCGTCATTAACTTTACCCAAAAGTGTCAATAATCAATTAATGGATCAAGACAGAATAATCTTAAACTTTATGAATCAATAATCAATTATTGCTGACATGAAGGCTCTCAACAGCATATGTTTGTTTATTCTAGTGCCGGTGCCTGTAACTCTCAACATATATGCGTGCACCTACCTTTGGCCCGTCGTCGTTGGCTTAAATATTCCTATTAAGATGAGATATAGATCCTGCAGATACACTGGTGATTAATGAAGTTAACTAATTAAGGTGGTTGACAGAAAGATGAAAGCTTGTCAGCTAGCTAGCATATATAGATGAAACTTTCTAATCGCTAATCACCTTGTCGGTGAGAAAACAGAGATATACTCTTTAGGCCTTCTAGAATCTAGAGGCTGGGACTGGGATATATTCATAAGGGTCTAGCCCATTTTTGCGGTTGGGATAAAGGGAGTAAATTTCTTTTTAGAAAAAAAAGGAATTTTTTATTGGTCTCGGACAATAATATTAAGTGATAGAACTATACTGACAAAACTCCTGGATAAAGGGAGTAAATACATTTCAATGCGGATTGATCAGTCCTTGCAGCTTCCGTGGCTGGCTGTTTGTTTGAACCTATTTGTTCTCATCTTGTTGGCCTCTATATATTCTCATCAAAGTTCTAAAAATGTGGGTCGTGCTACATTCATGAAGCAGTTATTACTTGTTGGTTAGGCTGTTTTGCATACTCCTGTGGGTCTCTTATCATGCATTATACTCCCATCTTATCATTCATGAAGTATTACATTATTGTCAAGTGGCCACTGGCTAGTGTAACTAATGTCTTGATCCCATCTCATCTTTTGAGTAGTACTTCCTCTAACTACGATAATCTATTACACCTCCTAATTCTTGAATCAAACGGGAAATTTCTATTACTACTGCTGTATTACATTTTGACCTTCCTTTAATGATTTTACAGTTTGTGATTCTAATTGAAAAGGTGTAGTGCTTCTATACCACATTGACATTGACTATTTCCTTTTCTTCTACCAGTACTTGCTTTGCTCTCTGTAACTTTGTTTCTAATATTTTTCTAACTTACCTTCCACTCCTGAAATGGCCATCAAATGAACATCTCCACTCCTTCTCCTTTTGCTTAAAAGGAAGAAAAAAAGGAGGAGAAGAAATATGTTACTCTTAGGCTCTACTCACCTGAGCTCAAAAGGTGCTTTGCCAGCGAGAGAAAATGCAAGCAGGGAGATTGCAGCTATACATAGGGGGAGCAGTGTGTACTCATGATCATCCAATTCTTATGGCCCATAGGCAATAGCTCCTCCATATCTTATCTGCCCAGATCAATAAAGAGATCCTCTTATCATCTTTCTGTGCTCTGGAAAGAGGGAATTTGATCAGGCATATCACTGAGAAATCTTCACATATATAAACAATACAAATGTATCAAATGCATACTCTTTAACAGCTGAGATTTTTATAACGAATAGAGCTAATCTTTTTCTATAAGGTAAATATAAATTTCAAATACAGTGGCCTTTGTTGTCAAACGAAAAGAAGAGAATATTCAGTGTTCCTTGTTGGATTTGAACGCCTATAGTTTTTTCCGTTCAAAAAAAAATAGACATTCACTTCTCCTTTTCATTGGACAGCAAAGAGTACAGCAAGATCCATTACTTGCTAACTAAAATAGGGACAGGCAATATCCCTACAAAAGGCCAATGGGTCCCTGGTTTTATTAGTCCACAGTTTGTCACTGCCTTACTGGTGAAACTTACCTGTTGAGACCCACTTATCAATACAATCATGTACCCCCTTGCTTGAATGCCACACTGGACTGTCTTGTGAATAACAAATGCATTTCTGGAATAAATTTTATTTTATCCGCAGGCTTCTAATTACACATAAAAATGTTGTAGCTTGTAAGATAACCTTAGCAACTTCAGTTCTACCCTACAACCATTGAAGTCACTGTTAAATGCACAAATGGTTGCACTGTCGAAAGTAAAAGAGTCCACTTAAGATGAATACCACACCGAATAAAAAAGGATCAGGCAACAGATACAGACTTTAACATACATTTATCATGAAAATACCTGGATATCTGCAAAGATTGAAGGGATCATCTCATGAACGAATCAGTACAACAGAATGTACAAGCAGTACTTGCCCTGCTGACCTCACCATGCTCAGATAAAGAAATATTACGAGCCCAAAATTGACGGGGAACAGTGTCCGTCAGTAAGAAACCACTGAAAAAATAGCAAGGCATTTTGTTTTGAGCGATAATCACAAGATTGATTAGAATCCAGCATTTTTCAGGCTACAGTCCCACCTGTTGCTTCACTGAAAAGCTCAGCATGGCACATGGTAGGTGAGCCTTTTCTTATGACAGCAGAACGAGAATGGTTTTCATTAGCCAAGCACCGCATCCACCCATTAAACGTTGTCGCCATGTGCCACGGAATATAATCTATCATTAGCTCTGCCATCCAATAATCCATACTTAATTACCATCACCACTCCCACCCTGCTTCACTCTGTGTCCCTGTGACAGACAAAAAAAAAAACACTGAGGGAGTTACAGCTGTTGTGGTTCTGACTGATCTCGAGCTCCCTTGACCAAAGAATCCCAAGCAACGGAGAAGCATATGCTGCTTTGCTTTGTCAGCTTCCTTGGGTATGTACATATGGCACAGCTGAAACAGCAAGCTCCATTCCATAGCTAGGTGTCCCAAGGTCTATTTGATCTGCAGTTATAAGGACAGTTTTGGAGGTAGCAGCTACGGCAGATTGTACTGTCAAGATTCCAAATGATGAAACAAACAGGAGGTACTTGCATATTCTGATCTAGAATCTCTCTCACTGGGTGTGTCGGTTGGGCACTCTTCACCCTTGATGGTGACATGCTGATGGATATATGGAGCAGAAAAACTGCCTTGAAGGTGAAAAGAAGAGCTAGCTGAGGACTCTGAGGTATCGCAAAGTTTCTTCTCTTCCAATGCTCTCAAGCCTTATTTCACACTTCAATTACCCTGCAAGAACAAGCAACGATTATTTCCTTTATCTTGTTTCATGATCGTTTCTGTTTTATCTAACCTAGGAAATGCAGTGGTTGGAGGCCTTGAAGTAGAACTGACCTTTTCTTGAGAGGTGATAGAGACCTTGGAACCCCAAGAAGGATTTAAGCAATGTATGCGTTCTCCAGAGGCAGCTCCCACACCCAGCATTCTCCTTGCTCTTGCAGTCCGTAGACATTTGACCGAGTATGGAAGTGAAGCCTGTGCAGGTACGAGCTGCAAATATCACCTTATCCTTATAGATATAGTCTTCATGTTGTTCTTTCTATATCCTTCTCAAGTCTAACTGCCACAAAAACACTTCGTCAGGTATTGATTAGAAAACCGTAGCAAAAGCCTTGGTTGTCAACTACATGTGGTCAGAATAGGCATGCTGAAATCGCCCAGTCTGCTGATTCATGCCTGACTTCAACAAAACACCATTTTATTTTATTTTTCTGACTGACCTTATAATCTCATTCCGCAATGGCAGGTGGAATCACCAGCAGAGAAGCAAATAGGATCAGTAGGATAGAGATCAGCGGCACTGGTTCTTGGCAACAACTGGTGTACTATATACATGGATGTGCAACCCGCAAGAACCATGCGGAATCTCCCAGATACACTGTCATCCCTCATGGGGTTCAACAAGCACCTCACGCCTAGTTGGATTGAATCAGTGTCTCACATCATTGATGGGTTGTCACCTACCAAGCCACAAATGAAAGTAATGGTTGAGAAGGATGAAAATATCAGTGATGACAATACAGAATCAGAGGCTAAAGTTCAAAAAATTCAAGGTATGCACTTCTAATCTTGCCCTCAAAAGCTCTAAGCGCTTCTGGGAATTTCTCAACTTTTGTTTGCTTATTACTACAGATGAACTGGTTTCACTGAATGCTCAACTAAAGCAGATAACACTGCAGAGGAGAGAGGCACTAAATAACTACTTGGATTTGAAAGGTTTGAGCTTTGTTCCTGAATTTTCTGTCTGCGAAAATTCGTTTATCTTTGGTTTTGTAAGCTTCAACAAAGACAACAGATGCCACTACATGTTGATTGACATGTCTTTATCCCACAGGAAATATAAGGGTGTTTTGCCGTATAAGGCCTTTTCATCATGAAGAAAGTTACAGTTCAAGAAATCTGTTCACTCTGGATGAGAGCAATGTTTTTCTGAAAGTTGCTGAAACCAAGAGAAAACAATACAAGTTTGATAAGGTTTTCGATCAATTCTCAACACAAGGTATTGAATCATACCAATACTTAATAAAAGTGGAACAAATTATTTGAATGCATATCAAGTTACAATGGTATTTTCCGAAGTTGGACCAGTGAACAAATTATTTGGTATGTTTTTCCAGGTGATGTATTTTCCGAAGTTGAACCAGTGATAAAATCTGCTTTAGATGGCTACAATGTTTGCATATTTGCCTACGGTCAAACAGGTAGTGGAAAAACTTATACAATGGTAAGATTTTCCCTATTGATCACTTTTATTCCCATCATCCCCTCCATGCACAAAAGGATAAATGAAAAGTATAAACACACCAAACCGACTGAATTCAAATGTTTTACTTACAGTCCATTACCATATGAATTAGGAAGGCAAGCCTACAAATTTGGGTGTCATACCACGTGGGATTCAAACACTGTTCAACCAAGCTTCAGAATGCAACAATAGGTTTCTGTTCACTTTCAGTATGCTTGAGATATATATGGGGAACATACGAGATCTACTAGCCCCAAGAAGCAAGACTAACGGGATTAAGAATGTACCAAGGTAATTTTCTAAATTTGTTCAGAGAAAAATACTTTTTGCAAAACAAATAATGATAAAGATAGAAAAAGAAAAGGAAATTAAAGTATCTCAGGTATGTCAGTTCTGAATAAAATGAAAATTGGAGCCAGTTCCTGACTATGATGCAGTCATGCAGCCACAGCAATGAACCACGAACAAGTGTCAATTACGTGTCTCTTGAAAAATGTTGAATCCCAAGACACTAAAAATGTATTCCGGATATGGTCCAATATAGTTCATGAATGAGCTAACAAACAAGATTCTAATATAGTTTGATGCATTATTTGACTTAGTTGTGCTCTTGTTTTACACCTAATGTTACCAAAGCTTGTACTATTAACTTGACAATATTTTGCAATTTCGGATTTCCTTGTGCCTGCCATTGATATGACTTATGAGGCTGTCAGGGTCACTGTTCATATGTAAGCAGGGTATGCCACAATGTTCATATGCAAGCATCCATTCCTAATTACAAAGAGGAAAAGGAGGAAAAAGAAAAAGGTGTACCATATTATTGACTTCAAGTAACAGGGTTTCCTGTACTTCATCAGGATATATCTCATAAGTCATATCAGCTGAAAATGTTGAAAATAATAGTTTTTTCCTGTAAATATGGATAGTCTGGGAAAATGCCACAATCATGCAGTATAATTTTTGTCCCTATACTGCATATAGGTGTGACACAAACAACAAACGAAATGAATATGGTCTATCATTTTGTAGAACCCAATATTGAAGGTTTACCCCTTTCAAGGATCTAAATTAAAAGATAGCCCTTTAATCTCAAAAAAAGGGAAAGAAGATCCTGCAATCATTAACTTGTGAATTGCTTGTGTTGTCCCTGAACTTTAGGATAATACAGGTTTAATTCGCTTTTATATATCCGTGCACATTTATAAACTTTGCATTTATTGAATTAAACTATTATTTATTGTTTATGTGCATCCAGCCTCTCCATTAAATCAGACCCTGATGGTGGCATTGAGATTGAAGATCTGGTAGCAGTTACTGTGAATAGTTTTCAAGAAGTGAAAAGATTGTATGAAATGGGGACCCGTCTTAGATCAACAGCTTCCACTATGGCAAATTCTACTTCAAGCAGATCTCACTGGTAAATTTTTATTTTATTGAAGAAAAGATTTCTTATATATATCTATACAATTAGAATATCAACTATGATTGCACCTGACTGAAAGAGGATTCAATCAAAAGTTAGAGAGCAAATGTTCACAGAAACATCTTGAGTGAATAAAATGGTTGTTTTTAAATTGAGAACCATGGAATAATCACTTTCCTGAAACTCTGTACTTTATTTGTTCATTTATGCAACAGTTTGATTCGCATCTCATTGACTTCCTTGAATGCAACTGAGAGAAGAAAAGCAACAAGTAAATTGTGGATGATTGATCTAGGTGGGAGTGAAAGACTTGTAAAGACAAAAGCAACTGGGAAAAGGCTCAAGGAAGGGAAAGCCATAAATTTGTCGTTGTCAGCCCTAGGCGATGTGATTGACGCACTACAGACTAAAAAACCCCATGTCCCTTACAGGTAAATGAAACTCATAATGCACAAGTGTATGGAAATTGGTACATGGCTGCCATTTCATCAGAAAAATATGACAAAACACTAACATGTCGCCCTTCCAAATTTGCAGAAATAGTAAGCTTACACAAGTACTGAGAGATTCTCTAGGTAAAGTAGTTCATCAGTAACTATTTCAAAAGGGATAACAACATATGTAGTTGAATTATTTTACACATATTTTTACAGCTTACCTTGACATATTCATGTTTAATTGTTGACAGGATGTGAATCCAAAACATTGATGCTTGTCCATATCAGCCCAGATGAGGGTGATTTGTGTGAGACAATTTGCACCTTGGGTTTTGCAACAAGAGTGAGAAGTATTCGCCTGGAAAGTGAAGAACCACCAGTAAGATTTTGCTCTTACCATTATGATGAGTGTATATGCAATAACTACCAGATGGCTATTTTATTCATTTATTCATTAAAAATAGCATAAACCAAACATTAATTAAGGTAATAAGACAGTTAATGCTCTCACATTTCAATTTGCAAAGGGACAACTTCAAAAACAAGATCATTTTTATGAAAAAGTTGAGCTCTGTGTGATCAGCCAAAATTAAAGAATGCTCGGTTTGTATTTTTACAAAACATGATATTTGCATTCATGCACACATAAAAATAAACTTTTATGTGAATTTTTATTAAGTCGACTAATGACTACACAACATGTTTTGATCTCAAACAGGAGATGAAAGCAAGGAAGGAAACATTATTAATAGATTTAGGACAGAAGGTCAATGATTTGGAACATGAATGTGAAGATATTAGAAGAAAAATTAAGAATCTCGAGGAGAGTATGGAGCATTTGACAGGACCTCAGCCAACTATTTACTCTAATTTTGACATGTCACATCTATCCAGTGAAGAACTGAAAACAGATGTATCAAGTAATGTGAGGAATTCAAAGAATCGCAGAGAAGCCTCTTCCAGGTTACCAAGGTTCATGAAGCCAACTGCTTCTAGCCAGCACAGGATAGGCTTAAATAATCGCACTCCCATTATTAACAGGCTAAAACCACCAGTACCACCAAGGAGGCGGCCTTCCTCAGTTTATGCTGAGTCTGTAATGGTCCCAGTAAATGCTGCCCCTTGGCAATCAGAATGCAGCTCCGAATGCAGTATGTCCTTAACAAGTGACATGAATTGGACACCAAGCATACGAGATGGAACTGAATGTAGCCAGGATGCATCAGAATACGAGATTAAACAGGTGATTTTCTCAGAACATGAGAAATCATCGCATGATCAAGTGACCTGCTACACAGATTATCCACTTGCAGAATCTAGAGATATACAGATTAAAATCGAAGAGAAGGGAATTGTAGACATTGACAATTGGCTCCACCAACAAATCGTTGAGAAGACTAGCACATTTCGAAGCAAAATGGTGCTTGATATTCCCGGAGTAACTGAAGCTGAAATCCATGTTTCTAGTATTCCTTCACCAACTACTATGGCATGCACTAAAGAAGATAGCCAGGTAAAGGATGAAGTAATGGGCCTAACCCTTCAATCCTCAACAGACTATGTCGAGGATATAAAGCAAAGCAAGACTGATAATCAATTCACAGCAAAAGAATTATGCACTCCACCATTTAAAGAATTTAGCAGCAACAATGAAGTGAAGGGACATAAAAACGAACATCCTGTGTACCATGGGAGACCCAGAAGGTCACTACAGGAAGAACTGGAAAATTGCACGCTAGAGAAGCCAAACATGGACTCAAAATCTCACAGGTCACATGATGATAAACACAAAACAGGTAATGTTCTGTCTTACACCGGAGAATGAGCATCTACGAGAATTTAAATTTTCCTGGAAAAAAGCCACTATGCATCCCAGTATCATCTGGATTTATTGAAGTTGCTCCTAAATTTGAAGCCACGGTAAGAGAATGCTTAGCAACAAAACATTTTAGAATATGCCTATATAGATGCAGAAAAGTTCATGACACCAGAATTGCACATGGAACAACATGAATAAATTGTATCCACATAAATCTAGTTGTACTTGGCAAACAACCACAAATGATCCAAATACTTATAATCACATTTTTGCAATATCTAAGACAGAAAACTCCATCATGCAATGGTGTTCAGCCTTTCTGAAAAGTTACTCTTTGGTGTATATTAGACCCAAAAAAACTCCACAAATCAGCCATGTAGCAGACATTGTGAAACAGCATGTTTATGCATGAAAGAGAACCTTAAAATGTAGGTAGACCTTGCAATTTACTGTAATTGTTGTTAGATATAGGTAGTAAATGTAAAATCTACAGGAAATCTTTCCAAAAAAATAATCAAATAACGATTTTTCTGTAGAATTTATTCCTAGAGCGAAAATAGAATAAATATTGAAAGTAAACTTCAGTAGATAAATTTTTGAGAGAAAAAACTTCAGTACATAGAAACTGAAGTTTCTAAATTGACTTCCACAATGACATGAATATCTGTAATTTTTAGCTAAATATCTCAGTAAAGCATGTCATGCAAAATTTCTCTGTTTTGGTACTATCATTTTGAACAGAATGCACAACTAGCATACAAATACTATCATTTATCCACTTGGGATTTCCGCCTGTCTACAATCTACACATAGTTCTTGTTCAATAAGCTATATTACCGGTTTATACTTCACTGCAGGGAAGTTCACAAAGTTCTTTCAAGCTCTTCAAACAGCATGGATTGGTGCTCTTCTAGCACTGGGAACTGTAAGCATTGGATTAGAGCATGGCTTCTTTCAGAGTTTGACACTCTAAAGTACCTAGAATCTCATCACTTTGAGATATAGTATTGAATTTTAAGAGAAACTACTACAGGAAGTAATGCTCTCGGTGTATATTGTACCACGAGCACACAATGAAATATGTCCAGCCAGTACCACAATTGCAGGTGAACTGTTGATTGATGCTAAAAGAGCTCCTTTGATTTCTGATGAATTCTTTCAGAAAGCCAAAAAAATTGGGGTATTTGAGTAAGAATGAAGGAATGATCATACAAGAAAATTGGCATCATTCAATCATACAGTAACTGTTAGTTTGTTACAGTAATTAGTATTGCACTGCCCTAACTCTGACAAAGAATTGTTTTATAGTTCTAAAGCATTTCAGCTTATTTGCCTCTGTACACACCTAAAATAAGTTAAGTGTCTCAGTAAAGCAGCAACTTAAATCAGAATGCTAGAGTATTTGTTTGAGATAAGTTGAAAAGGGAATGGCCTATCTATTCTACATACATTGCTAAAGGAGAAGTCTGATGAAACAACCGGTCGGTCAATATCAAGAAAAGAAAAAAAAAACTTCTGTTTAGATGTTGCCCGTACCTTTAACTGAAGAAGAAAGGCTTGGCCAACTTTTATCCTATAAGAAGACTAAATCTCACATCAAACAACTAGTCAATCAAGAATCTACTCTTGAGTTTCAACCTTGTGCTGTTGTGCATGCAATGAGTTGGCGAAAAACTACTCCTTTAAAACATTCTCTAAATTATCAGCTATGTTCACTTATCACACAAGGCAAATATGTTTCTTTCTGAGTGTACCAAAGTATGTTGTCCTCCTTCAATACAAACAAGTGCTTCGTAGAATATGAGCATAATCATTGGAATCTGTTTTACCATCAAGGCATTAAGGCATAGTGATCACTTTTGTTTTGCTGGAAACAATGATTCAGTATGAAGCATTGCATCAGGTATCTTCTGTATCAGTCTGAGTCTGACTGGAAGGATGGGGTTTAACCTCTAGGAGAACTTGTAAACCATGCCATCAATCTTAACAAAACTTCAATTGTGCACACTTGGCATGTGATGGAACAATGCTCACACTAGATGATGTTCATCTCACCCTTCTTCAACATCATGCAAACTTTCAGGGAGCAGCGCAATATGACCGACGGATTTTATGTTACTGTTAATTGCACATAGAACTTCACGTATCTTATGCAAGGAAGGATGAGAGCCATCTCTGGAAGTGAACTCATGAACCATGCCATCAACATCAATAGAACTTGCCCCTGGCACATTTCTTAATCCTCTATCTCTCATTGATATTCGAAGTTCTCTCACAGCATCCCACCTCTCCTGTTCTGCGTATATATTAGATAGGAGAATATAATTCCCACTGTTGTGAGGTTCGAGCTCAATTAGATGCAACAAGGCTTGTTCTCCAAGCTCTGTATCACCGTGAGTACGAGCAGCAGCAAGAAGAGCTCCCCATATTGCTGCATTTGCCTTGAAAGGCATATCCTGAATTAAACCACGAGCTTCCATCAAACAACCTGCACGGCCAAGTAGATCAATCATGCACCCGTAGTGCTCAACTCGTGGCTTAATCTTGTACTGAGACACCATAGTTTTGAAGTACCAGCGGCCCAAATCAGTCAGTCCAACATGGCTACATACCGATAGGACTGCAAGAAAAGTGATATCATTTGGTGACACATTCTCTTTCTCCATCCGGCGAAATAACTCCACAGCTTCCAAACCAAGGCCGTGCAATGCAAATCCAGCAATCATCGTTGTCCAAGTGACAATACTCTTCTGCTCCATGCCCTCAAACACTTCCAACGCTTTCTTAACACTCCCACATTTGACGTACATGTCGATGATCGCATTCATCAGCGGTATCTCCTGGCATAAACCCCGTCGCAGCACAAACCTGTGCACCCACTCTCCCAAATCAACCACACCAAGATCTCCACACGCCGAGAGCACCGACAGCAACGCCACCCCATCCGGTTCGATCCCCTCCACCTGCATCCTCCGAAACACCTCGATCGCCTCCTCCGGTTGCTTCATCTGCGCGTAGGCCCCGATCACCATCGTCCACGACACCACGTTCCTCCCCGGCATAACATCGAACAGCTCGCGCGCACGGGCCAGGTCCCCGGACTTCACGTATCCATCGATCATGACGTTCCATGAAACGACGTCCGCGGAGGCGGCCGTCTCGTCGAACACCCTCCGCGCGGAGGCGACGCTCCCGCAGGAGCAGTACGCCTGGACGAGGCTGGCCGAGGCGTGCGGGTCGGCGGCGTGGCCCGCGCGGACGAGCAGGGAATGCAGCTGCGCGGCGAGCCCTCCCCCGCCCCGGCCGCGGAGCCGCGCGGCGGCCCTGAGGGACACGGAGGGGTGGACGCGGCGGACGAGCGCGGCCGCGTGGTCGCGGAGCGGGAGGCGGAGGGAGGCGAGGAGGAGCGCGGAGGCGACGCGCGCGTGGCGGTGGCCGCCGCGGGGGAGGAGGTAGGCGTGGGCCTGGAGGAGGTGGCGCGGGGAGGCGAGGCGCGGGAGCAGGGAGAGCACCCGGTGGAGATCCGGGGGCAGAGATGGCGGCGGCGGCGGCGGCGGCGGCATGCGCTCCGCGGTGGCCGGCGGCGGTGGGCGGTTGGGTTCGATGGAGCTCGTGCGATCGTGGGGGCGCGCGGTTTCACGCGCTTCCCTTTCTTCTCGCTGTTTGGGCCTATGGGCTTCAGAAAGATCAACGCGGTATTGGGCTGGAAGCCTGTTGTGAGTACAGTGTTGGGCTGAATGGTTGATGTGCCGAGATCTGTTTCGGCACGGGCTCGTACATAGATTAGGCCCTATTGGGAGGTAGGAGTAGTTTTTTTTTTTCAGAAAATGATTTAATTCGTTTAGTACGGCACCGCCTCCTTTTCAAAATGTATGATGCCGTTGACTTTTTTCACAATGTTTGACTATTCGCCTTATTCAAAAGTTTAATGTAAATATTGAAAAGTATAAGTTAAGGTTATATTTTATTCGATGATAAAACAAGTCATCACAAAATAAATGATATTTATATAAATTTTTTGAATAAGACGAATGCTTAAACGCAGTAATACATTTTAAAATTGGAGGGGTATTTTTTAAAATTGGAGGGGTATTTTTTAATATAATATAGTAGCACTCAGTAATTCTCTTACATGGAAAATGAAGGAATAGTTTTAATTTAATTATAAACAATGGTTTCAACCGATACCTTTGATATTTGCCAGAATTTTATTTTTATTTACAGTGGACTCTCCTGTAGCAGAAATAATTTGCTCCCTCCATTCTAAAATCAATCAATTTTTATTTATTTCATGTATAAAAGTAGATTTATTTTGGGGCGAGAGAGTATATGTTTTATTTGAAGTGATCGTAACTACAATTGTGCAATATAACCTTTTTTTTGTATTGTCATTTTCTAGGTTTTTTTTTATAATGGAACCAACCTGCTTATGTTCAAGTGGTAGACTTGGGCTAATTATTAGTGATAAGCATTGAATCCGTCGATAGCTAGATGTATGTGATCTTCCGAAGGTGCTTAAAATATGTCTGTCTAGTTTTCTCATAGGTGTGCACGCGCTTGTTTATAGAGGATGTCTAGTTTTCTTATAGGTGTGTGTGCGCGCTTGTTTATAGAGGATGAGTGTGCCGTGTACGCGTGTGCGAGCGCCTCTGTTTTACTATATTTCTTGAGGAAAAAAAAAGGGAAATTGCAATATCCGAAAAATGCTATGGGCTTGGCTGCTCGATGAATCGGTGTGCCAATGCCCAAAGACTCCAATGCCGAAGAGCCAATGCAGCGCACCGTTTGTTCCATAGGGTTCAGGAGGCTGCTGCTCATGGATATCGCTGAAGTGTACGGCGCCAATTTACGCCACTCGTATCGTACACCGTCGTATACCGGTATATATACGATCGATCGTACGTACGTGCGCATCGCCGTCGGTGGCCGTACGATCGACGTCGGCGGGGGCGAACGAAAGCGACCGAACAAATTAAGAGAGAAGATAGATATGAATATGCATGAGTAGTGGTTTTGCAGAGAGAAATAAAGGGAAAAAAAAGGAAATGAAAGAATCAAAAGAGATGAGATAGAGGTCGCAAGAGTTGTTGCCGGCCTTTGCTGGAAACGGCCCAGTTGATCAAAAGAGCTTTTTTTTTTTAAGAGACAGTACAAACTGGGTTGATATATCTTGACACTGATAAAGTCACAACCCATTGTCAACGGATATGTCATACTGAAAGAATAATTAGTCATAAAAACAAGCATTAATTTAAACCCAAGTATACTAGTTTCACCACAATAAGTTGTGTTATGTGTGCGTGTCTCTTATCATGCCTCCCTATCCCTTAAAAAAAACCAACTCCTTTTATAAATTTGGACATAGGTTATGTTTAGATTTATGTTACAAATTTTTTTTAAAAAAAAAGAGTAGAGTTTAAATTACATTGTCCACCAATATTGCTTATAAGCGTGTTTCAATGCAACTTTAATTTCAGAAAAAAAAAAATGGAAATTTTCATTATCATTTTGTTACAAAAAGGATTGTACTCCGGATTTCATATTAACATATATGAACATTTCAAGAATCTCTTCCAATGCATGCATACATCTAAAAACGGTTTTCTAGCCTCGAGCCAGCGACGGACACACCATAGGATTTTCGGCTTTTTGCAAAACACCCAAATAGTTTTGCAAAACACCCATCATATCACAGTGTATATATTAAATTTATTTGGGTAAAAAGGAAGATGGACATAAAAGAAGGAATATCTAGGCACAAATCTTATTTATTGTAGAAAAAATCTTAATTAATTAAGATCACATTCCATTAATATCCTACCAGTATTTAAGTTTGTACCCTTTATGCAAAAATTTTCTGCATCCGCCACTGTGGCTGAGCATGATTTTGTATCACAATCTCGATGGCCTATGATCCAGGCAGTGCGCGCAAACCGCGGCATAGTGCAATTTGCAACCTGCAACTTGCAAATTAATTTCATGATCAACGTGTATACTGAATACATACACAGGATAAGTGATCAGCTGTCCGTTTCAGAGAGAAGCAAATGGTTCTAGGAGCTACTACTGTAATCTCATCATCAAGGACTGGACGTATACGTGCTCGATCGCCGCGCACAGATCGATCGATTGTTCAGATAAGATCGACGAGAGAGACACAAACACAACGTACGTCACACGTAGCATCGCGCGTATCTTATCTTTGAATTGACCTGAATTGAATTTGGAAGGCCCTGAGCCGGCAGACTAGAGATACATATCTCCAAATTAATACTACAAAAGACAAAGCCAAGCCAGCCAAGCAGAGATGTACTACGACTAGCTACAGATGGTTAATTGATTGGTTCGTCAATGTTCATCTATACGCTAACTAATCGCTGCATATACTGTTCCCTCTGTCTCTAGAAGTCCAATGCTAAAGGTAAATATGAACGCACATACATCCAGATTCATTTCTAGAATAGATTAGACTTTTTTATAGAGGAGGTAGTACTTATCAAATTGAAGTTAAATTATAGAAGAACATGATTACTAATTAACATGATACAGTACGCTCGATCTGAAATACGCATGAATGGCAGCAAATTATAACTAATTAAGCTAACTGATCATCAAATTAACTTACACTGCGATTAGGCTTGCAAAATTGCGTTGGATTTGGCCAAGAACAAGAGCTAATTAACAAAGCTGAAGCGCTCGCCTTCGATCGTCGTCGCCACAGGCCGGCCTTACATGAGGAGCAGGGGCCAAGATGTAGCCAAGAACAACTTGCCAATTGATGGATGGATCCATGGCCAGCTAGCTTAGCTTCATAGATAGATCGATCGATCGGCAAGTCATCCTTGGCTGCACCATGGCCTCCGATCCCAATGTCAGGCCGCCGGCGATTCCCGGCTAGCTGCTTAATTTCATCTTTGGCAATTAACCATAGCTGGCACAGCGAATAATGAGAGGAGGAAGAAGAAGAAGGAGAAGGAGAAGAATGATGAGTTCAGATAGCAATACAGCACGCACTGATGGCCCTTATATAGACTAGACTACGCGTGCTCTGATCCTTCCTTCTAATTCTTAAATGGGATTAATTAAAACGAGCAATTTAATTAACACGATAATTAAGGTGTGCAGTGAGGTTGGTGCCGAATCTTGAGCAGGGACAGGTCCTGGAATGATCTGGGCGTGTGTGGGGGCCAATGGAGAACATAGTTCGCAATGATCGATCGATCGATCAGCACATGCAGATGCAGCGCATGCAGGATCTTCTGCTATAAAAGGTACAACTGAGCGTACTGTGCATCGTCAGCGAATCACTGCGTGATTTGATTTTTCAGGGTTTCGGGTCTAGTAACTCGGGGATTACACATGTATATCCAGCTGGCACCCCTCCATGCTGTTTCTTTCTCTCTCTTTTTCGGTTTTTTCCACCTTTTTTTCAGATTTTTTTTAATTCTTCAGCACACATGTTTTCAAATCTCGATTCGAAAGTTTTTCAAATCTGATTGAAAGTTTTCAAATCTGAGTTGAAAGTTTTTAAATTTTGTCTTACAAATTTAAATTTCAAGTTAAAAATTTTCAAAGTTTGAGTTGAAAATTCTCAAAATTTGACTTCGAATATTAAATCTTGAGTCGAAAGTTTTAAAATTTAACTTGAAAGTTCAAATTTTGAGTTGAAAATTTTAATAAAATGAGTTTAGAGTTTTAAATTTTGAGTTGAAAGTTTTAAATTTTATGTATGGCTTTTAGTTTTTTGATAGAAAGTTTTATATTTGAAATGAAAGTTTCTTTCATATATAGATTTCTTTTCAATCTGTTATAAAAAAATATCCCAAAAAAGAAAAATATTTTCTTAATTACTGTCATTATCCTTAACTAACAGAGTTAGTTAGGTTAACTTCGGAAACGCGCGCCAGCTAGCTTTTCCGCAATAACTCGACCATGTTCAAAGAAATTCTAAAAAAAAATTAATGTTTCGATGAATTTTATCCAATTTTGCTGGTTTTGCCATGATAACAGGGCTTACCACATGAATCGCAACTCTCCCTAAATTGTAAGGGCAATTCATTGGTTTACGATTTCGGCCGAACATTCATAAATAGGGGTTCTTCTAAACATGTGTTTGTAATTATCAGGACATATTCTAGAGTAGAAGTTTGGTATATTCTCTTGGGTTGCGTTATTTAAGGTTGGACTGGGAGCTACTTTCTCGTTTACCATGAACAAACTTCCTAAGAGCAAGTTTAATAGTATAGTCCACTACTAGCTTTAATTCATCTATAACCAATCCAATAGCCAATTCATACAATAGTTACTTACTATAGTACTAATATATGGTCCCACCTATCATACACATATTGTGTTTTAGAGTCAACGCTGCAACTGGCTACAGATCTGTAGCCTTCTGCTATTCTCTCTTATCTTTTATGTTATTAAAATATGTTTACAGCTAGCTAATAGCCTACTAATGTACAATAGCAGGCTATTAGCCAGCTATAAATATATTTTAATGAGATAAAATATAAGAGAGGAGCAGCGGGCTACAGATCTGTAGCCAGCTGTAGCACGGACTCCAACATGCAGTGTGTATGACAGGTGGGACCATATATTAATAGTATAGTAAGCAACTATTGTATGAATTGGCTATTAGATTGAATATAGGTGAATTGGAGCTAGTAGTGGGCTATACTATTGAACTTGCTCTAACGAAACCATCTTTGATCGGTTGCCCAAAATCCACAATAATCCCGGTTTGAATAGGAACCGGGACTAAAGAATATCTTTAGTCCCGGTTAAAAGACGTGACGGCACTTTTTGTTACCAACCGGGACTAAAAATGATCTTTAGTCTCGGTTTAAAAGAAGGCAGGCTATGTCAGACCCCTCCACTATCCTTAGTCCTGGTTGGTGTTACCAACCGAGACTAAAGATTTATTATTAAACAACCGGGACAAAAAATCAGCGAAACTGCCCGTGCACGCGTCCCGCCTCATCCTTCCTGCCCCCAACCTTATCTCTTCTCTCTTCTCCTCCTTCTCACCCCTCATTCCTTTTATCTCTTCTCCTCCTTCCCCATCTCCTCCTCCTTCTCCTCCTCTCCTCTCACTCCTCTCCTCCTCCTCATTCTCTCTCCCTCCCCTCTGGCTCCCCTCTGGCGGGCCGCGGCTCATGGCATACGGCAGGAGGCGACGGCGGTCACCCCTCCACCGGATCCAGGAGGGGAGACGGCCGGGCGGCGGCGGTGGAGGCCAGCGCAGAGGGCTGTCCCTGGCGGCGGCAAGCGCGAAGGGCGGTGGCCGACTGCAAGGCGGCGCATGGCCGGGCGGCGGTGGCCCGATGCAAGACGGCGCTCGACCGGGTGGCGGCCGGGCAGAAGCGACCGGCGAGTGTGATTTTTTTTTAAATTTTGTGAATTATTTGTAGTGAATGATTTGTATATTTTGTTTGAGATTTTTTTTTGATTTGGGGATGATTTTGTGATTGATTTGTGGATTGTGGATGTGTATGTATTGTGGATGATTTGTGTGGATTTGGGTGGGGGAATAGATACAAGCATAAAAAAACAATAAAAGAAAAGAAAAAAAACCGGGACGTGGCCCATATCTATCTTAAGTCGATGTATTTTTAGTCCCGGTTATTTTATCCGGTACTAAAGATGCACATCTTTAGTCCCGGATTTGTACTCTCGGTTACAAAACCGAAAATACATGGGGTTACAAACTAGGGGTAAAGACCATTTCTCCACTAGTGTAAATTGCTCATATAAAAACTTTGTATACATAAGTTTTTTTAAAATAAAATTATATTAACTTTAAGTTTAAATTAATTAATATATATGGTAATAACTCATCTCGTTTCACTGAGCAGATTTGCCCAAACACCACTTAGAACTAAGTCTTATACATTATACTCTACTCCAACAGTCGAGACATAGCTTTAATACACTAAAAAAAGTTTAAGCACCAATGTTTTCTTATTTCTCTTCTCCTTTGTGTCTGCAAATTTACCTTCTTATACCCGGAAAAATTCACTACTACCTCCATCCCATATTACTTGTCGCTTCAAGTTTTTTTAATGTTTAATCATTCGTCTTATTAAAAAATTATTATTTATTTTATTTGTAACTTGTTTTATTATCAAATATACTTTAAGTACTTATCTTTTTTATATTTACACTAATTTTGTGAATAAAACCGAATGGTTAAATATTGTAAGAAAAAGTTGAAGCGACGAGTAACAGGAAACGGAGGCATTAGTAGTGATTGTACATGCACTCGAGAATGGAATCATATAGACTGCCTCTGATGGATTATTGCCTTTTCTGGTTTAGACAAATCTGGCCGAAACCAAAAGGAGCACGGATGTGACTGCAATCATGCAAGCCATCTCGATCGGTGGTCGTGCCATGTTCTCAACTCAATCATGTGCTTACACCGTACTCCCTCTCTCTTACAAAATTTAAAAGATTTTAACTCTACAAGATACTCCCTTCGTCTTGAAATATAATTATTTTTAGTTATGAATCTAGATAACTATGTGTCTATATTTATAGCTAAAAGTTACTATATTTTATGACGAAGGTAATATATTTTAGGACTGTGAATTTGAATATGCTCTCTATTCATATTAGTAATACTACTCCCTCCATCCTATAATATAAGTTATTTTTTTTAACCATTCGACTTATTCAAAAAAAATTGGAATTATTATTTATTTTATTTGTGACTTACTTTACTATCCAAAGTACTTTAAGCACAACTTTTTGTTTTTATATTTGTACAAATTTTTTAAATAAGATAAGTGGACAAACAGTACAAGCAAAAAAGTCAAAATCCCTTATATTATGGAACGGAGGAAGTATAAAATATCACATCCAATCAAAATATCTTTAAATACCACTACAAATCAAATTTTGTAACAATTATATAACAAATCGTGCTCCAATGAACGAACCAACCGGATAGCCAAGCTATCCAGCTAGCCAAGAAACCCACAAATTTTAAACAATCATTGGAGTTTATCACCACATCATCGTCCTAGCTCGGCCTTGTCAGGCCGAGCCAAGGATTTCAGTCCCCCATCATTGCCCCCGTCACCAGCTTAGAGGTGGGAGGGCGGCGGCAGTGATGGCAAGTGGGAAGATGGGGAGAGCCGGAGATAGCCGAGAGGTGTTGCCATATAGGGCCAAGGAAATTTGAAAAATAGAGAGGAAGGTTAAGCACATGATAAATATAGGCCTTATTTAGATTCAAAAATTTTCGGCAAAAAACGACACATCAAATATTTAGACACATGCATGGAGTATTAAATGTGAGAAAAAATCAATTCAACAATTTGCATGTAAAGCGAGATGAATCTTTTGAGCATAATTACAACATGATTTGACAATATGATGCTACAATAAATATTTGTTAATACCGGATTAATTAGGCTTAATAATTCGTCTCTCAATTCACAAGCGGAATCTGTAATTTGTTTTGTTATTAGTCTACGTTTAATACTTAAAATGTGTGTCCGTATACTTCAAAAACTTTATACCCAAAGAACTAAACGGAATCTTTTTAATAGCTCACCAAATGTAAATAGCAGAGAGTAAGACTGTTAGAGATGTTTTAATGTTACTATCTCCGTCCCAAAATATAATATATTTTAGCTATGAATCTGGGCACACAGATGTCTATATTCATAGTTTAAAATACTTACATTTTAGGACGGAGAGAGTACATGTTCAACTCAGATATTCTCATACCTCTTGGTCTTGTTTTGAACTGATGCACTCAACAACACCTCAACTTATAAATACTCATCTTATAAAATGACAATAGCTCAACATATTAATCCAGAAAAGCAAAAAGGGTAATTAAGTACTACATACGGTTCGAGACCACTGTACTAAAACCGGAAGCCGGAACTGCTGTTGGCCCTCTGCACAAATGGATGTTTTATGGAGAAGTGGAGAAGAGTTGCCCAAACTGAATTGAGTTTGTGACTGAGTTCTTGTTGTTTCGTTGCTGACTTTCAGTGATGCTGGCCATATTTCCGTTCCTGACCTGAGCACTGCTTTCCACTTATTTAGCTGAAAGCTGTCTGAAAGCTGTGGTATGTTCGAAGTAGGTTTCAGGCGAGTTTTAATCCAAACTTTTTCTTCAAATTTTTTACTTTTCACTTTTCTACACACACAAACTTCTAATTTTTCCGTCACATCGTTTTAATTTCAACTAAACTTTCAATTTTAGCGTGAAACACACCAGTTTCTTTCAAATCAAATTTAGTCCAATATGATACAATTTCTTTCAAATCAAATTTAGTCCAATATGATACAAGCTCTTGTAGTTCATATTTTTTTATTTAAACTTTCAACTTTTCCATTACATCAAAACTTTCTACACACAAACTTTTAACTTTTTTCAATAAACTTTTAATTTTAGTAACTTCTAATTTTAACGTGGAACTAAACACACCCCAATATAAGGAATTTGGACAAATTATTCTCTTTGACGTCATGTTTTTCAATGTTTCACTGGTTTTTGTGAAGGATCAGAGTTTTTCAATATTTCACTGGTTTTTGTCAAGGATCAGACCACAACGAAAGCCACATGGTTAAAATCTTCGCGTCGTCACTACGTCATACTAATATTTACTCTCCAGTTTGTTCCCTGAGAGCCTGAGTGACATCATACTTGCCTCTTTTTTTTGGTTGCATCTGGATAATTTTCCGGACAACTGTCAAAACTCATTAAATTCCATGAGCCCTGTTTGTCAACAGCAAAATAATAATAATAATAATAATAATAATAATAATAATAATAATAAATTTTAAAGAAAAACTGCCGCTGAATCGACTACGCCAGGAGGATCTCGAAACGAAATAAACAAAGAAGGCAAAAAGAAAAAACGGAGGTGAAATAAAAAAAATTCGAAAATGTGCGGCGAATCACGCGAGAAGCGAACAGGGCGAAGAAGCGCCCGCCTGCTGGTAGGAAGCGTGGATAGCCGGCGAAGGTTTAGCTCTCGCACACCAAGGTTAGGCACCCGGGTATTCAGGATCAAGAACCCGGGGACTCTTTACATGTGCGTTGTTGTAAAAAAAATTCAAATTCAAATCCAAATTCATAGCGCAGCCATTGCTCGGTTCAGAGAAGAAAAACGGGAAACAGTTGAATCGAGACGACGCAAGAAAGCAGCAAGCAACGCATCAAGTCAAATGAAAATATATTGGATTAAACACTTATGGTTGGGAAGAACACCTATCAGGATCACAAACCGAATCCAAATCCGGAGGAGGAGGGGCCTTGAGCGCCGCAACGAAGAGCGAAGGTGAAGACGGCATGAGAGGTGAGAGCTATTGGTAGGGTTTGGGTGGGGATTTATAGAGGGAGGAATCAACGACAGCCGTCCGATCGAGTTCTTGGGCTGTTTTATGGCGATCGTACGGTGTCCGTCTCTTCCACGGGCGGTCCAGCTGTTGCGAGGGTTTCGCAAGGGCCCAAAGCCCAAGCCCATGGGAATCGCATTTGGTCCCTTATCTAAGATTAGTTTAAATCGTACCCTCTCTTAACCTTAGTTTGTTCACTTTGCTATCATTTTCAAACTTACCAAGTTTTGGTATTGCCAAATTTTGATAAGATTGCTAAGGGCCTATTTACTTTGATGCAAAAAAAATCTTACCAAATTTTGGCAGAATTTCTTATATAGTTACCAAAATTTAGCAGCAAACTAAATGTAGCCACTTTTTTAGCAACTTTACTAAAACTTAGTAAGGTTAAAAATGGCATTAAAGTGAACAGACCCTAAAATTTTGGTAAGGTTGCCAAATTTTGGCAAGATTTTATATGTACTTACTAAAATTTAGCAACAAACTAAATATAGCCACTTTTTTTGGTAACTTTGCCCCAAAAAAGATAATATTGAAAATGGTAGCAAAGTGAACAAACCCTTGAAACCTGTTACAATGCAATATCTCATCTCCTAAAAGGCTAAAACCAGTTCCAGGACGGTTTGGATTTCCAAAATCCAAATGCCTCACATTCTCACTTGGTAAGGTTGAAAATGACATCAAAGTGAACAGGCCCTAAAATTTTGGCAAGATTTTATATGTACTTACTAAAAAAATATAGCCACTTTTTTTTGTAACTTTGCCAAAAAAAGATAATATTGAAAATGGTAGCAAAGTGAACAAACCCTTGAAACCTGTAACAATGCAATATCTCATCTCCTAAAAGGCTTAAAACCAGTTCCAGGAACCAGTCCCAGGACGGTTTGGATAAATCCAAATGCCTCACATTCTCTGGAGAGACGCATGCACAGTTTCACACACACCTTATTAGGCATACCTCTAAGCTCTGAAACCGGTATCTTTCGGTGCTATAAAACCAAAAACGTTAACTTTCAATGCTATATAACCAATTTTCCCAAATTTATAAGCCTGAAAAATTGCATTGGTTTAAAACTTCAAGTTTTATGAAAAGAAACAAAATAATTCATCTAAATGCCATCATAGCTCTCTAGCTTCAATAAATCTTGGATTTTAAATTGTGCCATGACCTTGGTCCTTGGTTTTGGTCACCCATACGGTATCTCAAATGCACTACAATTATATAATGCTTATACGACATACTGAAACTACAATTATATACGAAAATGCACTTTTGAATATTGGTCTACACGTACAAATTACGATTGGACCAACAAAATGGCCCAATCCTCAGCTCGTGTGATTGCACAGTTTCTTCTTTCTACGCACATTTTCTTAGCTGAGCTAGGACCAAAGATACTACTCCCTCAGTTTCACAATGTAAGTCATTCTAGCATTTTCCACATTCATATTGATGCTATCAATAGATAGATTCATTAACATCAATATGAATGTGGGTAATGCTAAAATGACTAACATTGTGAAACGGATGGAGTAGTAAAATAGCGTCGTTTCAGCATTTCTTCAAAAAAAAAACAAAAAAAGGTGCTATGGCACTCGAGCCTCATCGCAAAAATGCAACTGAGCCAAACAAAATGCGCCTTTCTTGCAAAGCTCCGGGGGATGCTGACAGTTCAGGGAAAATTAACCTCTCTTCTCCTGACCCCCTGAGCTACGATGATACTGCTTACTCGGCGATCCTAACCTTCTTGTTCTTCTTCTTGGATTTCTCCACAGGCGTCTGAGGAACCTCCGAGGTCGTGCCGCTGTCGCCACCACGAACCTGGGATCCTTCGGCCGACTTGCCCGATACATTCGAGTGCCCCAAACTGCTCTCATCCTTTCTCTTCTGATTGTGCTTGTGCGCGGGCTCGGCACTCTGTTGGCCCAGCGATTGCGCTGAGCCTTGGCTGCTGCGGTTCTTCGACCCGCTAGTGAACCGAGACCTCGTCTTCTTTGAAGAACCTGGAAGACCGGACAAATTCAGATCAGTGAGAGCAACTACTGTTTACCAAAGTGTTCTGTTTATGATAGAAAAAGAGAAAACACTTCAGCTGTTGGCTGGAAACCTTTATTAATTGAAAGTGCATACCTTAACCAACAGAAATAGAAACTACAGAGATGAGCTTAGTATTTCTCTCTCAGAACAGTTCTTCCATCTTATAATACAAGAGCATGCATTGCATCATTGGCATGAGTCTTCAATAATATATATCAGGAATTTGGCTAATGTCAACTTTCAATGGTGCCCAAAAATCTTAAGACAAATAGTATGTTCATCACCTCATTACTGTCAATGTGAAAAGATTGAACAGTAATATGCACTTACAAAGTTAAATCTGGTGATACTGGATTTCTAGTTAAAACAGGAGGCTAAACCTACACAAGTCTAAGTTATTGACTAGTTCAAATGGAATGGCATATCATGCTTGTCAAGTCTATATAATACATTCACCATAGACAGCAGAAGAGTGGCATCATTATAAAAAGATGCCTGAGAAAATGTACTCACCTGCAGATTTCTTACTGCTAGGAGTGAGACTCCCCAAACCTGGCTTCTCCAGTTCTTCAGGGTCAGGATAACGAACTAAGCTAACTCGACGTGCAATCTTCCCAACTGGAATTTTTTTAGGATTAAAAGAACAATATGCATACAGTAAGTTAAAAGAACAATATTAGCTGCCTCCCAGGAAAGGAAGAAATGATAGATGTGTTCTACCGATTGTGCTATCAAGCACGACCAAAATCACAAAATCAAATAGGTCAACAAACAGCTCAATTTAACAAGACCGATAACAAGTAAAAACAACATCCATGCAAAATAGTAAAATACTGCAGAAATAAACTGCAAAGTTGGTATTTCAGCATACCAGCTTTTGCTTCTGGTCCGGATGGAAGGAAAACAGTTGCATCTGGTTGCTGAGCAGCAAAGCTGACAAGATCATAAGACTTCCCTGCCAAATTAAGTATAACAAGTACAGCTCAAACTTTTGGGAGAACTTTAAAATTTAAATTGTTATTGCCACAATAATTTAAAAGCGACGAACTGACGATCTTAACCAAGAAAAAGAAGTTAGAAAACCTAGTAGCCTACTGCTAGTAGTCTTACTGATGAATGTTATCATTCTAGCTTCAAATCACGGATTATTATACGAGGAAGCTGAGAGCAGATTTCACTTCACCAATCAAACTTCTGAACATACACTAAACATAAAAACTTCTATATGTAAACTAAATTATAGCACCTTAATTCCATTTGTTCATTTGTTGCCTAAAGATCTGCAAAACACTACTAGTCATCAATGAACCAGCATTGACTTCATCTTCATACAAAAATGAGAGGCAAGCTTGACCATAGAAATGGAAGCAGTTCCATTGATAGGATTAACATTGTTTGGGATTAGTAATGAGAAGTCTAGGTGCCCACTTTGGGAAAAACTAATCAATAAGGTCAAAGTGTGATTGCATGAGCAAATACAGGTTGCATCCAATCCGACTGTACAGAAAGCTGAAAAACCTTCAAAAGACATAATCGATCAGGTGCAACATAGTTCATCGAATATATCTTACCCGAGGAACTCTCCAAACTGCTCAATTTTCCATCACGGTGCAACTTAAGAGTAAGTTCTTGACCATGAAAATCAGACGCATCTAACTGCATGCAACACAGAAAAACGTTAAATTCGAGATCCCTTGTGCAGCATGCCACCTGGCACATAATGAAAATAATATCCGCATAACCTGATTTAGAGGCCACTGTATTAGCCAAAGTTCCGTTGACTCTGTTTGTGATATGTCAAGCATAGCCTCTTCGCTGTTCTCCTCAAATGCTGGTCCAGGCTCATAGCTACAATGGTTGGTTGCAGCAAAGTTAAAAATAAATTACAGACAATGCAAAAACTTACCAACAAGTGTATAATTGAAACAAAATGAGCTACTGAATTCAATCCAAAAATCCACAACTATAATTTTCCAACCTCTCTTATCTCATATTTGAGGCATAACTGTTAATCTGTTATTCAGAGAGGAATCAGAACTACCAAATCCACAAATTCGATATACCATTAAAAGTTGCAAATCCACCTAATAAGTTTCGTTCTGAACAAATATTGCATAGCTTTACTGTAGATAAATGCAATGCTCAAACAAAAGCATTCCTGCTTTTAAAATTGTTATTCAGATGTGGCTTTGACTATCAAACACGTTCTCCTATTGTGCCCCTTCGCAACTGCTGTGTGGGACGAAGTGAGATCAACTTTCCCGATTAGTTTATGCAGGGACGAACTAACAAGTATGAGACAGTGGATTTCAGATTTCATGAAGAGGAGTTAGTGCCTCCAAAACACAGTGTTAGCAGTCACCCTTTGGGACATTTGGGAGGCGAGGAATGATTCAAGGAACAAGTCCTCCTCCTTGCATCTGCGTAAAGTGGGACAGAAGACAGTGGCATATGTCAACATGATTGTGCAGCACTGCTACAAGGTGACGATCTGTCCGAGAAGACTAACCGCTAAATGTCTTAGCCTGCTATTTAAAACGCTGCTGCCCAGGCAATTTTCCTCATCAACGTCATTCGAGATGTAATTCTTGGAGTGTATCCGGGATGTCCTCTGTACAGATGCTACTTACTTAATCAATGAAGTGCCATGGTTCATCTCAAAATAAGCACGATACTGCTACACGCCTACACTGCGTCAGAAAATGAGAAAAAAAAAACGAACAAACCTCCTCATCGTGGTCGGCGAGGCGACGTTTTTTTTTTTTTTTGAGGAGCGGTGTCGCCGGAGAGCCGGAGTAGGATCAGAGGTGGAGAGGCGAGGCGACTCAAAGCCGAGTCGGCGAGGGCACCGGCCACCGGCCACCGCCCGCGCCGCGCCGCTGCGCCGAGAGCAAAAGCGAGCCCGCGAAGATGAGCTGGCGACGGCGAGCAGCGGCTGGACTCCGGAATCCGGGTCAGGGAGGCGTGCGGCGGCGAAGGCCACGAGGTGGCGTGGCGCCGGCGTGCAGCGGCGACGGCCAACGGCGCGCTTGTGTGTGGGTGGCGGCTGGGGATTGGGACTTGGGAGGACAGGGAGTGAGAAGGTAGCAATGGGGGGGGCTTAGGTTTTCTTAAGTGGGCCAAGCCCATCGCAACTTGCAAATGGGCTAGGCAGCTTACGTAGGTGGGAAAAAGTACACTGAAGGTCTCTCAACTTGTCATCGGGATACCAAAAACATCCTCGAACCGCAAAACCAGATATACGGGGTCCCTTAACTATACAAAACAGGTCACCTGAGATCCTTGGGTGTTTTTGACCCCGGTTTTGGTCTACGTGGCGGCTGAGTCAACGTGGGACCCACGTGGGCCCCACATGTCAGCTGGCCACGTCACCACCCTCTCCCCTCCTCTCCCTTTCTCCTCTCTCTCTCTCACTCCTCTCTTATCTTCTCTGGGCGACTGGGCGAGCACGGCTGCGGAGAGGCGGCGTCGGCGGGCGAGAGCGGTGTGGCGTCGGCGGGAGAGAGCGGTGGCGGTGCGGCGGCGGCGGCGGCGGCGGCGGCGGGCGAGCGCGGCTGCGGATGGGGAGAGGCGGCGCCGACAAGTCCGCGCCACCCGGCCTTGTCATCGGCGGCGGCTCCGGGCGCGAGGGATGAGGACGCGGGCCTCGTCGGCGGCGTTGGCGGCGAGGGTGGCACGGGAGAGGCCGGCGCGAGGGCACGGAGTAGGAGGAGGCAGATAGGACAGGAGCGAGGGCATATGGGGAGGAAGGCGCCGTCCGTGGTTTGCTGTTGCTTCCCTTTCACCGTTGCCGAGCTCGTCGTCCTCGCGGTCGTCTGCGTCCCTGCCGCGCTCTGCCACCTCGCCGTCCGAGGTGGCCACCGCCGCCGCGTCTGCTCTGCGAAGCAGAAGGAGATGGGCGAGCTCCTCACCCTGGACGTCACCTCCCCGAGGTCGCTGGCCGCTGCGGCCGCCAAGGCCAGGAAGGTGGAGGTCGAGTTCCCGGCCACGCCCATGGCCGAACACCTCGGGGAGGCGGAGGTGGCGCGATGGAAGTCGGGACTGCAGGCGGCGCTGCACTGGGTGGCACGCTTGCTCTCCAGCGCCGGGGAAGACGCCCGGCCCGCCGCCGACCTCCGCGTGCTGCTCCCCGTCCTCGCTTGCCCGCTCTCCCCCGTGCCCATCCTCCCCCGCCTCCCCCGCCATGTACGTTCTTTATCGTGTTCTCTGCCTCGCAAACTCGCCTCAATTCTTTCCATCCCATTCCAACGAAAGGGAAGAAATCAAGATAGCCGGAAACACACAACTGAGGGGAACAAAATCAAAGAAAGAAGAGAAAATTCGATCATAGCACAGGAAAAAACCTGGTACCAAAAAATAGCACAACAAATTTTTCACTTCGACTAAAAGCACATGGCATCAATTTTCTTGCGATTCATAGCACTTCCGTCACATTTGCCATCCAAACATGTGAGTTGACATGAAAAAAGACACATTTGCCCTTCTTCCCCGACCTAGCGCTCTTCTCCCTTGGTGATGTTGCCGCGCCCGTGTCGCCGACGCTTGGTGAGCTGACGGAGCCGCGCTTCCCTCCCACCCGCCCGCTCAGCCGCTCCCGATCGGCACCCGCCACCATGCCTCCCACCGTTGCTCGCGCCAGATCCGCCACGCCGCCGAACGATTCGCGCGTGTGGGGTGGAGCACCGGCCAGATCCGCACGGGAGGAAGGCGGTGGAGGAGGAGGTGGAGACGCCGCGCTTCCGGCCTGCCGGCTCCTGGCCGCCTATTCGTTAGCGGCGTCGCCGCCCAAGGTCACGGAGCCGACAAAGCCCGCAGTCCGCCCACTCACGAATCATCCCAACATCCGCCAGCGCGCGCCACAGCCCCGCTGCAGGTCATCGTCCCCGTCGCTGTCATCGTCGTCATTGTCACGTGGAAGTAGTGGCAAGCCAGCGCGCTGCGGCACCGTGGCGAGGGAGAGGTTGTTCTGGCGCCGAGTACGGCAACTACGGGCCACATCCATCCATGCCGAAGCTAGGGCCGCCCACGTCATCGTCGTCGTCCTCGTCGTCAAGCTGCCGCCGGCGCGGGAGGCTTGCCCTCGATCAACAGCGCCGAGTGCCAGACAGGGTCCACCTCACCGTCGGCGGTGACGGCGAGCCGGTCTCCAGGCAAGCCGATGGCTGCCGCGCTGCCATTCACGAGGGAGCGAAAGAGGAGCCCTGTTGGGGAATGTGGGGAACGAAGGGCAAATGTGTCCGACAAAAAATTTCTCCACACTGATCTAACACCGTTACTTCAAAATGTGACAGAAGTGCTATAGGGCGAAGAAAAATCGGTGGCCTATGCTATGGATCGAAAGTGGAAACTTTTTGTGCTATTTTTTGGTACCGCTTTCTTTCCTGTGCTATGGATCGAATTTTCTCAAGAAAGAAAGGGTCAAAAATTTTATCCCCAAAGCGACGAGACGACTCGCTTCCGCCCTCTCAGTCGAGGAATCCAGTGCGGCACAGGACGGCGTTGCGGACGTGGTGGAGGTCGCAGCCCTTGAGCATCCTCCCGGCGCCCTCCAGCACCGAGCTGTGCGCCGCGGCGCGCCGCGCGACAACCTTGTGCGGCGAGACGACCATGGCGGCGTCCCCATCCTCGCCGCCGACGGAGGACTGCGTCGCCCACCTCCCCCTCCTCCTCACCGTCGCCGCCGCCTCCGAAGGTATCCTCACGTGCGGCTGGCGATGCTGTAGGAGCCCACCGTCGGTGACAACCTCACCGTCCCGCTCCGCTGCGCCTGCCCCTTGCTGCCGCAGGTCGCCGTGGTGGTGGCCGCGGCGCTTGACATGGCCTGCCCAAGAGGAGAGAAGTGAGAGAGGGAGAGAGAGGAGGAAGGGAGAGAGATGAAGTGGACACCTAACATGTGGGGCCCACGTGGGTTCCACTCTGACTCAGCCGTCACGTAGACCAAAACCGGAGTCAAAACCACCGAAGAACCTCGGGTGACCGGTTTTGTACAGTTAAGGGACCCCGCATATCTGTTTTGCGGTTCGAGGACGTTTTTTATCCCGATGACAAGTTGAGGGACCTTTGATATACTTTTTCCACGTAGGTGTGGTAATGGGTCAGGGCCCATAGAACGTTTTTTCGCAACTCTTAAATGTTTGGAAAAAGTACACCAGAGATCCCGTCACTTAATTACAAAATCATCCTTTAACCACAAAAACAGGTACAATCCATCCCCTAACTTATAAAACCAGTGCAAACAAGGTCCCTCGGCAGTATTGTTACTGGTTTTGATTGGCATGGCATCTATGTGGCTCCTTTGACTATGTTTTTATCTCATGTGGTATTAATGTGACGTTTACGTGGCAATTTGATAAAAATAAAATAAAAATGTGAGACCCATGTGTCAGTTATACTAGAAAATGATTAAAAAAATGATGGCCCCATGTGAGACTCACATGTCATCTTCATTCTCTCCTCCCTCCTCTCTTCTTCCTCTCTTCTCGCCACACAACATCGGCACGCTCGTCGTCGGCTTATTTCACGATTAAGCCAAACGATGGGGCCGTAAATGTCCAAACCACCTTTACATTTATAACGACACGCATATTAGGGAAACACCTAATATCAAATAACTAGAAGGGGTGAAGCTTCGAACTCAGGTCATCTAGCCCACCACATTGTGGAGCTAGCCGAAAAACCCCTGGGCGTTTCTCCGCCTTTACATTTATCATTAAAAATATAAAAAAAGACAAAAGGATTGACCCAACCCCAACGTTATTGTATCCGTGCTGTCTTTATTTTTTTCATTTGTTTTATTTTTCTTTCTTTTCTTCTTTGTTCTTTTATTTTTTAAAAAAATAATGGTATATCTAAGGGTAGATTGGACATTTAACGGCTTGCTGATGTGGCTTGCTAATGTATTGTTTCCTGTGGGTTCAAGGACTAGCCGTGTGACAATTTTTTAAAAATGTTATGGACTAGATTGGCCTCAAAGGGAAAACTTCAGAGACTGTTTTGACTATTCTCCTTTGCAAATTATACTTTCCATTGTCCATTGTTCAGGTTCGAGGAAATTGCTTTCAGCTTCAACGGTGGCAAATATTCAACTGTAAACACCTTTACATTTCCTTCTACCTATTGTTTCAATTATTTAGCATATATAGTTAGTTCCAAATTCCAACCAACAAGATGACAACGTTTTGGTGAGAATCACCTTACCGTTTGGGAAGATTAAAATTTTAAGAAGCAACCAGTAAGAATCCAGCTAGTGAGAATTTGGAAAATTTAGGTTTTTCAGTTTTTGGCTTGTCATTTTCTAGAATAGGAATCTAAGTGAGAATATTAACTGTTTAAAAGAGCTTAAGATTTTAGGAGAAGTTGTGGAGGTTAAAAATTCCTCAAATATGGCCATAGAAGCCTTCCCAAAGAAGAAGCCTACCAAAGCAATTTTTAGGCACTAGAAACGGCGATCCGAATGCGGTGAGTCCCTTGATTGATTCTTTTGCAGTAGTGCAATTTGAGGTTGGTCAAAAACAATTCCCCTGTCTGTCCTTCTCTCAAGAGGGTGAATCCATTCCTGAATTGGTCTTGCAGGATTGTCTCCTGATCATGCGAGTCAATCGGACTTTCATTCTCTTTTCAGAGGAGCCAATTCTAATGCTTTGCTGTGACAATGATGTACTGCACGGTCAAGTACTGCAGCCTTTTATGATTTTCAATAGTCACACCTTTTTGGTAGACGTTAGGTTTAGGCCCGGTTTAGTCCCAACAACTTTTCCAAAAAACATCACATTGAATCTTTGCTTTGCGTCTCTTGATAAAAAAAATCACATTGAATCTTTGGATACATATATGAAGCATTAAATATAGATAAAAAACTAATTGCACAGTTTGCATGTAAATCGCGAGACGAATTTTTTGAGTCTAATTAGGGCACCCACAATGGTTATCTATAGGCTCTCTACCAGAGATCCATGTCAGCATATTTTCCTACATAGAAGATATTAAATGAAGAGAGAGAGCAAAACTATCTACCAACTTAGAGATAGTCTATAGAGAAAAACGAGACAATGCATGAGAGAGCTATAGATACCCATGTAGACATACTATTGAGGTGGTTTACTATTAATCTAGTCTATTGCTGAGATGTACATGTTTTATAGAGAGCACCTTACTTTACCATTGCGGGTGCTCTTAGGTCATGATTAGCCATAAGTGCTACAGTAACCCACATGTGCTAATGACGGATTAATTAGGCTCAAAAGATTCGTCTCACGGTTTCCAGGCGAGTTGTAAAATTAGTTTTTTTATTCGTGTCCAAAAACCCTTTTCGACATCCGGTCAAACGTTCGATGTGACCCAAAAATTTTCATTTCACCAACTAAACATAGCCTTATCCCCTGTGGGTCATAGTGCAATTTATCACATCAAATTAGTACGAGTAGTAGTAACCTAACAAGATTCTACTCCTAGCTGTTCCCTGCTGACCTTCAGCTCATTTTTCTACTCTTTCATGTAAACCTTCAAATGGATGATGCATTTCATTTGCCCTTGATATGATTCCAGATTTCCAGGTACACTTCTATTTGGCAGCGTGCGTCCCAAATGCACAGCTGAGTGGTGGATCAGGCATGTTTATAGGTCAGGTCTCATGTGACGGCGACTAAAAAAATTTCAGCAATATTCACTTAGAGGGTGTTTAGATCCAGGGGCTTAAAGTTTTTGCGTGTTATATAGAGTGTCGCATGGGGTGTTCAGCCACTAATAAAAAACTAATTACAAAATCCGTCCGTAAACCGCCAGACAAATTTATTAAGCCTAATTAATCTGTCAATAACAAATGTTTACTGTAGCACCACATTGTCAACTCATGGAGTAATTATGCTTAAAAGATTTATCTCGCAAATTACTCGCAAACTGTGCAATTAGTTAATTTTAGCCTATATTTAATACTTTATGTAGGTGTTCAAACATTCGATGTGACATGGTGAAAATTTTGATTGTTTCATCTTTGGCAAGCTTGAAAAATATATATGGCAAATCTATACAACCTTAGTACATAACCATACAACCCCTTAAACCGGCATACATAATACTCCCTCTATCCTAAAATATAAGAATCTAATATTGAATGTGATATTTTCTAATACTACGAATCTGGACATTGGTCATAGGTTTTTATATTTTAGGACGGAGAGAGTATCTCAGATGGAACGCTTTAAAGGGCTAGCAGAGGAAAGAAAGTTAAGAGAAAAGAGGAAGGTAAATATACTGCAAACAATTAATCAGCAGTACTACCTCCGTCCCATAAAAAATAATCTAGGATTGGATGTGACATATTCTAATACAATGAATCTGGTCAGAGGTATGTCCACATTCATAGCATTAAAATATATCACATATAATACTATGTTAGTTTTTTATGGGACGAAGGGAGTACCGATGAACCACGACAACAACAGATGAGTCGGTGAATTTTACTGTAGTACAGTACATTTCAACCGTGAGATTTAAGGTCCTGTTCGTTTCTACTGAAAAGATGGGATGAAATTTTAGATACTCATATGGCACGTTTTTTAAACTGCTAAACGATGTATTTCGTGTGAAAACTTTCTATATAAAAGTTGCTCTAAAATATCAAATTAATCTATTTTTAAGTTTGTAATAATTAAAACTCAATTAATCACACGTTATTATCATCTCGTTTTACGTGAAACACTTAATATTTATCTTCATCTTCATCTTCAGATGACTCAAACACCACCTTAGGGGGGGATTGCAAATTCATATTTGACACAAAAATTGACACTATATATATTCATTCACCAATACCTCTCTATGAGTATCAATGCTCACATAATCTTGTTGAGAACTTGTACCTGTATAATTGTAAAAGATGAGAATATGCTTTATTTCAGAAAAATCTTGTCGAGAACTTGTACCTATATAATTGTAAAAGATGAGAATATGCAATTTTTTTCAGAAAGAAGAACAAGATTTGGATGGAGAGCCTTCGCTCCAAACAGTTTTTACGAAGAAATTATGAGTGTGCTAAAGATTGAACATGAGATCTCATAGTTAAAACCACACATTTCGTACCACTGCACTGTCTAATACATCTCAATTTGTTTTTTTTTCCCTTTACTTAGTATTAACCGGTGTGAGATTGTTTGGGTAGCATCTCTTTCAACTTTGGCTTGCGTTCTCCAAGACGATATTTTAATTCCAAATAAAATCCAGTATACTACTGCATTAACGAATGGTATGGTCACTACCGTCGAGTGACGAACTCTCTCTCACGCTTGTGTTCAATTCAGCCACGCCACGGCACAACGCTGGTCCATTTGTACAATGCGAGAATCGCTTGTTTCTTTGTGGACGATGTTGCTCGTTGGCTAGCTACATGGGTCGCCATTCGCCAATGCGAATGTGCATGCCCATCCAAAAATCCAACCAACATCTACCTAATCTCTGCAGACCGGTAAGGAGTGCATGTAAAGCAGTAACCTACCCAAGGCTAGTTCAAACCGTCGTCCTTTTATATACACCAAATTAAAGAAATGGCACGCCATCAGATTGTGTATACCCTCCGTTCCATAAAAAAAAACAATTCTAACAATGTATATAGATATATGTATAATTAAATTCATAGCTAGAATTAATATTTTTTTTGGACGGAGTAGTATATATGAATATCAATCAAATAAAGTCAACTTTTTCTTATGTACATATAAATTCAGGATTAAACCATACAACCATACAAGCATGGTTGATTCTACTTTCTCAATACTCGTTGTTGTTTATGCTACATATTTGTCATCGATGACTATTCTATCCATTACTTTCGTAGATCAGTAATAGTATAAACAACGATATATGAGCCTCACTTATTTGAAAAAAAAGAGTAAACAGACAGGAGAAGGTTCAGATGAAAAGAGACCCTCCGACGTGAAATTAGAGAGATGTAGTCATGGATATATGAGCCCCATCGTTTCCCGGGCCTAAATGTACTCCTTCCGTCCCATAAAAAAACAACCTGCTACCGGATGTGACACATACTAAGAGTAGGTACAATAGCAAACTATAAGCCAGCTAATATACATATTTTAACGAGATAAAAGAGGAGAGATAAAAGCAGCGGGCTACAGATTTGTTGCTAGCTGTAGCACGGACTCCAAGACGCATGTGTGTATGACAGATGGGACCAGATATTGATTGTGTAGTATATGTTTATAGGTAACTATTGTATGAATCGGTTATTAAGTTAACTATAGATGATTTGGAGTCAATAGTTGGCTACACTATTAAATTTGCTCTAATACTACAAATACATACATACATACATACATACATACATACATATATATATATATATACATATATATATATATATATAAATTCATAGTACTTAGATGTAGATTTGTTTTTTATGAGACGGAGGAAGTAAGTGGTTACTACCTCTATCTTAAAATATAGTAAGGCTGTGTTTAGATCAAGGGGTGAAAAATTTTGTCGTGTCACATCGGATATACAAATACACATTTGAAGTATTAAACGTATAGTCTAATAACAAAACAAATTATAGAATCCGCATGTAAATTGCGAAATGAATTTATTAAGCCTAATTAATATGTCATTAGCGTCAAATCATTGATCAATTAGGCTTAAAAGATTCGTCTCGTAATTTACCTATAATCTGTGTAATTAGTGTTTTATATTATCTATATTTAATATTTTATATATGTATCCAAACAATGTGAGAGGTTAAAAGAAGTTATGGAGGATCTAAACAGGCCCAAACAACCCATCCTACATTTTGGGACGGATGGAGTAGTCGGAGGATTTCCGGTCCAGACCACCACGTCAGCGGCGTGCCGGGTCCACCTACCCGAACGCGCGCGAGACGAGAAGAACATCGGAAGAGTGGGAGAAGGAGAAGAGAACGATAGAAAAGAGGAGTACTATCATCGAAACGAAAGCGAAGCGGAAAAAAGGCCCCGACGCAGAAACAGCATCCGCAAACGTGCCCCCGTCTATCCACTCCCCTCCTCCCCTTCCCTTCCCTTTGTGGAGGCCAGGCCAAGCCTCCCCTCCCCTCCCCGCTCCTCCTACGCAGCGCCGCGGCGGCGGCGGTAGAAGGCGGCGGAGCTCTCCACCCTCCCCTCCGCCGCGGCGGCGGCCGTGTTCCTCTGCGGTGGAGAGGCCCCCCCTGGTCGTTTCTCCGCGCCGGCTCGGCATCTCTCCGGAGGAGGAGGAGGAGGAGGAGGGAGGAGTAAGGTGTGGGGATGGAGATCGACCGGGCGGTGCGGGGGAGCAGCGACCGCCGCCTGCGGACCAAGTACGACAACGCCGTCTACGTCGTGCAGCGAGCCTTCGCGCTCTACCCGTACGCGCCCCCCCCCTCCTCCCCCCCTCCCCTCTCACTAGATTCGTGTGGTAGCGGTGATGGTGGTGGTGGTGTCTTAGCTCGATGATGATCAACGCGATATTTGTTGGGGTTGCTGCTTTCCGCGATCGGGTCGGGTTTGGTTTGGCGCGTGCCCCGTAACGAGTGGGTTGGTTTGGCTGGTTCATCCAGCTCGGATGGATTTGGGGATAAATGTGGTAATCACAGATTGGAGAGAGGAATATCGACTTGGGGGTTTAGATCCCAAACTGCAGGTCGCTGCAGCTGTTTAATCCCGATATGCATTCTAAATTTGTGTGTCCTTACCAACAGAAAATTCATCCCTATTTGCCTGTTCGATTTCTTAATCCCCTTTGTGCAATGGTGTATGCTGTTATAGTTTCTGAACATCAACTAGTAGCAATTTTTTAGGACGGTCTAGACTATTTGGATTGGCTGCCGCAACAATCGTCTAGTCTCGATCGATTGGATTTCGGCTGGATTGCTCTGTCGAACTGTATTTTCAGTTGATTCGGACCACGGATTAAAGTACCTGTGTCTTGAATGCTGTCCAGGATACAACGGGAGTAGGTACATTGTTTTCGTTGTTGGCTAGTCAGGTTGTATCGGCTGTTCTTATGCCAGTTCTGATGAGCTAAATATTTATACATCCATTTTGTGAGTTGTAAACTGTTTCCTTTTTTAGTCAACACTTAACTTAAAATCGAGTTTCTTTGGATGAGAAAGGAGATTCTAAATCAAACTACATCCATACGGGGAGTGAAAACCCATGATGCTTGTTTGTCACGTCATCTTAAACCAGGGAAAGGTCCATCCAGTGTTTCCACATTTCCTTTGCAGAGGAATACATCTGCAAATTTTGAGCTAAATAATCTGAGTCTGTGATGAAAGTATGTGCCTGCATGCTTTAAAGTAGCTTCCAAAATTACATGCATCGATTCATAAACTTTCAATTTTAGTTTCAGTTTCTATATCTCAAGCGGCTCAGAATATGTAATTCGAGTGAAAATGCAACACTGCCTACCAATTTCTTGAGGATGTCGAGTGTTTGAAATCACATAGTTGGAGTCAAATTTTTACCTTTTCTCCTAACTATACTATCAGGCACATTTATCATGCCAACTGGGTTGTGTGACTGCTATGTTTTTAGCTTGTAAGTATGATGGTGTACATGTTCTGATCCAAATCTTCATGCTGTTCCAATGCAGAGTATATTTTGGTAAGGTCATAATGACATTTCTGTAGGACACTAAAGATTTTTTCAGTGAATGATGAATTATAATTCTAATCATGCAAACTTCTTGAATAACTGGAATGTGGGATGTCCAGTTGTGTTGAACATGATATAAGTAATGGCTGGTGGGGAGTTTAAATATCATTGCAGTGCACGGGGACTTAGTCTTCTTTGAAAACTTCAACCAGTTATACCTGGATTATGTGAATAAGGCACAAGGCAGATGTTCCCCAAATGCATATTGACAGTTCTTTTTGGCACCCTATCCTTTAATTTCCCTATTTAGTTTTTTTAAATGGTTCTGCACTTGTCCAGGATGGATATTCAATAGAGGGTGGGGTTGGTTTGAATGCTCTCATTTTATATATACATTGAATACAGGAACATCCTAAATCTCATTCTCAGAAATTTCATTTTCCAGGTTTGAGGAAGTTGCCTTCAGCTTTAATGGTGGGAAGGATTCAACAGTAATATCTTTATAATCTCTCTTGCTTGTCATTTTTCTTCTGTATGTTAAGTGACGGTTTTTTCTATTAGCAAGTTTAACAAGATATGAATGCTATATATCAATAGGTTCTGTTGCATTTACTTCGGGCTGGCTACTACCTCCACAAATCAAGCTCTGATGGTGAAGTCGAAATGAATACTATCCAAAACTGTCCTGTGCGCACCATCTATTTTGAGAGCCCTTGTGCTTTCCCTGAAATCAACTCATTCACTTATGAAACTGTCTCAACGTAAGAAATCACTAAGATTCGTTGTCTTTGTTTATTTGCTAACCTTGAGAAGTTAAATGAAATATTCTTTGTCCTCCGTTCTCCACAGTTATGGTTTGCCACTGGAAACTATCCGCTCGGATTTTAAGTCTGGCCTAGAAGGCCTATTGAAAGAGAGGCCTACTAAAGCAATTTTTATTGGTACTAGAATTGGCGATCCAAATGCAGTAATTTTCTTGTTCCCTTGTTTAGTTGCTCTTCAAATCTCGATAGACTTGTTATGTCCAATCCTCATGCCCATAGACCTTTCACTTATTGATGTCCCTAGACTCCCGATAAACCTATTACTTACTACAGTTTGGGATTATAGGTTGGTCAAGAGCAGTTCTCGCCTAGTTCACCTGGCTGGCCTCCTTTCATGAGGGTCAATCCTATATTGGACTGGTCATACAGGTTTTCCTCCTGATCATGTAAATCAATCAAAAGGTGCCTCCTAGTCTGCTAATATTCATGTGCTAAGGAACACTATACTTCTGCCTCAGGGATGTTTGGTCTTTCCTGTTGACCTGTAAGGTGAAATACTGCAGCCTCTATGATCAAGGGTAGGTTTCCTTTTCATGTTCATAATCCAAAATTTTAATGGTCTGTATGCATAACTTCTGTTGAATGTTTAGCGTATCGATACCTATGGGGTCAAAAAATGCCGTTTATCATGTTGTTACTTTAAATAAATTTATATAAAATGGCTTGTGGAACATCAGCTATGTAAAGTTACCTTGTAATTTAAGCCACTTGAGAGTGCTATATAGATTTCCATATAAACTTTCTAGTTTATCTTACAATGTCATGTACTTGTGTTGTTTCTAGGTATACTTCCATTGGAAGCATATATGATACTGTTCCCAATGCGCTTCTTTGTGATTCAACAACTGGGAAAAGTTTTAGGCCAGCATACATGTTATCAGACGGAAGGCTTGAAAGAGCTGGCAGAACAAAGAAGAATATTAGTTCTGTTTCAAGCAATGGTACAAACAGTACTGAGGTGGAACAGACGATCTCACGCTCAGCGTCGATCATTGTAGTTGGTGATGAAATATTGTGAGTAATCTTTCCAATTTGCCTCTACAGATATAATTCTGTCATTCCAAGGTTCTTGCAGTTCCAACAGCCTTTTCTTTGGCAGTACTGGGCTACTGGCACACTGGCCTCTCTCTCTCTCTCTCTCTCTCTCTGAAATTTATGGTACATTTACACTAATTTAGTTTATTTTTTGGCATTGCCTTTTGGATAAATGCAACAAGTATATTTTATCAGTAGTTTGGACACTGAAGAGCAAATGCGATCAGCTGTGTTTATACCTCTCCCGCTATTTGATACAGTAGAAACATCTTCATTTCTAGGGGGGAAAATGATAGTGGAATGAGTTTCATTGACTCATTTGTCTGTGTTCAGAATCATTAAAAGTCAATTCAAAGTGCAACCAGGCATTCCAAAGCTCAAAATATAAGGATTTTTCTTTACTACTGTTGGAGAATTTGGTGTTGCCGTGCTGATACTCTGGTTTATTGTTTTTTGTGTAAATGATTCATTGACAGTTGTTTTATACAATTATTGATACACGTGCGTGGTATTTCAGGTTCGGCACAGTTGAGGATAAGCTAGGTGCAGGCTTGTGCAAGAAGCTTCATGCAATTGGCTGGCGAGTTTCTCATGTAGCAGTTGTTTCCAATGAAGTAAGATAAGTTAAATGAATCGAAATAGTTGTATGTCCTATAGGCTCCATGTGGGAGCTTGCAGCCTACTTGCAACTGCTGTGAACTATGCAATCTACTTGCCAACTTTGCCAGTTTTCTGGCACATAATATCTAACAGAAATTATTGTTATGCAGATTGATTCTGTTGCTGAAGAAGTTGAACGTTGCAAATCTACAGATGACATGGTTAGCTTATCGACCTTTTCATTTTATGAAGTTTTTGGATTAATAATGTGTGTGATGATATTCACATTGTATTTCAGGTGTTTCTTGTTGGAGGACTTGGGCCTTTACATTCAGACATTTCGCTGGCTGGCGTTGCAAAAGCATTTGGAGTTCGTCTGGTGCGTTCATTGAAACTTTTCGCTGTAGGATTTGTTATAGTAGGTTCCCAGCCTAATTGTTAGTCATGATCACCTTTATCCTTCTGCTCTAGTTCTGCTGTGCCTCTACTTTGTGCTGAGCTTCTGCTCTTCAGTGTTCCTTTATTCTAAAATCATCTTGCTTCTAGTGATACAAGTAATTCAGCAATGTCTTATTAGAGTGGTCATTCATGTTTGTCTTTGTATAAAATCATTGTTCCTAGTATTGTTTTGTGCATTTGCTGCATTTCTTATTTCAGATGACAAATCGAAAGCTTGTTGCTCTATTGGTTGCAGTTTCACATGAAAATATTCTTATGACAGCCCTTTGAAATATAGAAAGTCCTCAGTGTGCATAGCTTTCAGCTCTCTTGCTGGTTCTGTTGGAAAAATGTGCATAGCCTTGAACTGTTGTCATACACTAAATGGTTGCTTCATGAATTTGACTGAACAAATCACAAATGCCATTTACTGTTATCAACATGTTTAATTTGAATTTTCATAGGCTCCTGATGAAGAGTTTGAAGAATACCTTAGTCAACTGATAGGAGACAATTACACTGGTGATCGAAATGAGGTAATCTGGTTCGCAAATACAATTAAATTCTTGAATATCTAGTGCTGTGCATGTTTATTCTAGCATAGTGCAAGCTGCAGTATTATCATTTAACTCCACATCTCTTTCAGATGGCTTTGTTGCCAGAAGGTATTACGGAATTATTGCATCACAAAATGCTACCGTTGCCATTGGTACGTTATGTTGTTTTAATGCATTTCTTTGAATTACTTCTGAAATACATATTTGGTGAACATATTTTTGGCTTTACAAGGGGTGTAATTTCTCCAAAGTTAGCATGTGCCAATGATATAATCTGATGTAGTAACAAGGTCCATGCACATTTATTAAGTCGCATACCAAAATCCCTTATATTTCGGGACAGAGGTATTAACATATATCCAAAGTTTAGTAAGTATGCCTGAATGAAAAGCCTGACATCCAATTAGGAAGTGACGAAAATGCCTACTGTAAACTATGAAAAGAGAGTCGGAAATTGCTTCCTTTTTTTTTCATTTGTCTTATAGATAACTGGTTTCTTATGCAGATCAAATGCAAAAATGTGGTCATTCTCGCTGCAACTAATGTGGATGAGCTTGAAACGGAGTGGGGTTGTCTTCTAGACACACAAGAGAGCGGTTTAGTGATGGCTAAATCTTTTGTGTCAAAGCATCTCTGCACGTCGCTATTAGATGTATGTCTCTTCGACTCAGTCAGAATTTGCTTTGTTTTTATTCTAGTTGTGTTATCAGAATCAGTTCCTTCATATTTTATCCCTGTCAGTTCCAAAATAGATCATTATAGTATGTTTGGTCTTAAATAATTTCACTTATCAATCATTAAAATAGAACAATGTAAATGACCCCTATTGATGTAGTATCTCAATAATCTTGATTTTGACCAAATGCTATGCCTCGCGATTGTTTCTTTGTGTAGCTGTTTTATATTTCACTATTTGTCTTTACCTTCCTTCAATCCTAGATGTTACTTTCCTGGCAACTATTGGATAAATATTGCACACTTGTTAATTCCATTTTTACGTTTAGTATCCACCTTATCCATTAATTCTCAAAAAGAAAAAAAAAACTTCTTGGAAAATCCTGTAGGGAATTTTCTCACTTCTTGGAGAAAATTTTCTCCAATTAACTAGCAAGTTAATTGGAACTTTTACTTTTGGAGAAGTACTTCATTATGTATCTCAGTATCTGATAAACTTTTACTGTGTTCTTTTTCAGGTTAAAATTGCCCCAGTGGTTGCAAAACTATGCATAGATTTTTCTGATGTATACATAGGTATGATTTGATGCTCCCATTATTTTCTTTGTGGGAAATGATTTTGCAAAATTTCTGATCTGGTGGTTAATGTTTTTGACGTGCAGGTTGTTATCGGATCTCAAGATCTGGGCCTTTGGTTGTGAGTTTTATTGGGAAGGTATGTGCTCGATCTCTTTGTAGCAGACTCCATTTATTCCGCAGAACAGCATACTAGCATGTAAAACTTTTGTCTTTACGAGTTCTTTGGAAATAACATAAGAGAAGTTATGTACTTTTTTGGCACCCTTGTTTTAATCAAAGCAAAGACAATCGTTAACCACCAACAACTAATTTGCATACAGATGTAAGCTTGTCCTGTTTGTGCACTAATGGGACACCTTAGTTTCTAGCTAATCTATGCTATGATGTGACACTACTTAGTACAACGAATCCGGATATGCCCTTGTCCAGATTCATTGTACTAGGTAATGTTACATCCTGCCTTAGGTTGATTTATTTTGGGATGGAGGGAGTATGCATTTCCAGTATGGAGTACTACATCTAATTCCCCAGAGCAGTAGTTTTACAGAGTTCATTTATTTACCTTAATTTCAGGACAATCAGAGGGTAGAAGCAGCTGCCGAGAAGCTGACGAATAGCTTTGAAGGGCAATTCTCCCAAGTTGACAGTTGCAAATAAGCTTTCTGAGTACACACTTCGATAGTCTTCCCGTGTTCTTCCTGCTGGAAGTTCTGAAATTGTGCAGGGCTAATGACGCGATACGGTGCTCGGATGGCTTGATCCAATGGCCGGAATCTGGACTCTGGAGCTCCACATATTATTTAGGAAAGGAAACATAGAAATTTTGTCCTAGAAATTTAGAAGTGAATTACTGAATCAACAGCAGAGGTGCTCTAGCATGAAGCTGATATAGAATGGCGGCTTTCCACGCCCGATATTTTGACCGGGCTAAGGGCTCGTAATATTCTTTTGGAATTAAACTCAAATTAGATTATAATTTATAGCCTCCAGTCCTCCATAGTTCAATAATTTAATCATGGTTTTTTTTTTACGATAAGCACGTTCAAATCAGGGAAGATGTGGAAGATTATGGGCTTGTTTGGCTTAGTACCGTACCAAAATTTAAGCAAATTTTGACACTACTAATGTTTTGGTAGGGTAGTATTAAAGGTGAATGTGTTTGCATTGATGTTATTGGGAGACAATATATATAGGGTTAATTAGATATATGCCATTAAAAATTTGCCGGATTTGAAATATGCTATCAGTGTTCGCGTATTTGGAACCATACCATTGCAATTTTACAAATATTTAAGATATGCCACTACCAACCATTTATGAAAAAATTTGGACCAAATTACCCTTCTTTCCTTCTTTTTCTCCCCCTCCTTTCTTCCACAGCTCAGAGAACTGGTGGCGGCGGAGCGGCGGCAGCAGCGAGCGGAGCAAGCGGCTGCAGCGGTGGAGCGAGCGGCGCGGCGGCGGAGCGGCGGCAACAACGAGCGGAGCAATCGGCGGCAACGGCGAGCGGCGCGAGCGGCGGCGGTGGAGCGAGCGGCGGCGGCGAAGTGGCGCGAGCGGCGGCGGCGAAGCGACCGGCGGCGGCGGCGAGCGGCGCGAGCTGCGGCGGCGGTGGCGGAGCGGCGGCAACAGCGAGCAGCAGCGGCGGAGCGAGCGGCGGCGCAGTGAGCGGCAGCAGCGTGCGGCGAGCGGCGGCGGCGAAGTGGCGTGAGCGGCGGCGGCGAAGCGACCGACGGCAGCAGCGAGCGGCGCGAGCGGTGGCGGAGCGGCAGCAACAGCGAGCAGCAGCGGTGGAGCGAGCGGCGGCGGCGGAGCGGCGAGCGGCAGCGACAGCAACAGCGGCGGTGACGGCGCCAGAGTAGAAGCAGCGGGGAAAGAGCTAGAAGATGAGAGAAGAGGGAGAGAGGTAGAAGATGAGGGCATTTTCGTCCAATACATGCAAAATACGTATCTTAGCGGCACCACTAAGATTACAACAAATAGCAATGGCATCATTCCAAATACGTAAATAGTAATGGCATATTTCAAAACCGGCAAAATTTTCATGGCATGTATCTAATTAACCCATATATATATTACTGTGAATAGAGTTCTAGAATTATTGCCAATTTAAGCATGGGCATTACCAATCATTTGGCTTCAAATCAAACTAACACATTTACTATTTATAAGCTACATATGGGCACATTTTGACATTAATCCAAACAGGTATCAACAAGAGATTACGTATAATCTCTCCTTTAGAATTTGTTTTTGGTTTAATAAGCTGAAAATAGGGAGTAAAAAAACTAATCTATCCAAGAGAGCTTAAATTTTATCTTAAAACACTAAAAATGGGTACATCAGTCACATTAGGTTTAGACCAAATCCACATAATTGTCACATAATCATAACCATATGGGACTATTCTTTTGCTAAAAAAACACTTCCTTGGTAGATGGTTCCATCGCTGTTGCGTTCAAAAAAGGCAAAGAAATCTTGTAGCCGTTGCACCCACCGAGGCACCGAGTCGCAAGACGGGGACTTCGTATTAATATGGAGAAAAGCGAAGGACCCATCCGAAAAAAAAACACAACCCGAAGACGAAAAAAAAAAAGTTTGAAAAAACTACGCCGAAACGGAACGCCCCAAAACTCCAAAACTAGCCGATCGAGCGAGCGCCAATCTCAAATCGAAATCCCGCTCTCTCTCTCTCTCTCTCTCTCCCCCCCCATTCCTCCGCCTCAAATCGCAAACCCTAGCCGTCGCCGTCGACGAGAGGTCGACGAGAAGTCGACGAGAAGAGGAGGAGGAGAAGCTGCTGCTGGTGGTGGTGGTGCTCCGCCATGAACAACTTCCACGTCTACGAGGCCATCGGCCGCGGCAAGCACTCGGTAACCCCCCTCTCCGCCTTCCTCTCCTCGTCTTCCCTGTGTTCCCCGCGCCCCCGGATCCGCTCGGATTGGGTGCAGATGGGTGAGATTTCTGATTTGTTTTTGGTGTTTTTTTTTTTTTGGGTGCGGTGGTCCGGAAGACGGTGTACAAGGGGCGGAAGAAGAAGAGCATCGAGTACTTCGCCGTCAAGAGCGTCGACAAGTCGCAGCGGTCCAAGGTCCTCAATGAGGTGAGCGCGGCGCCGTCGTCTCCCTGCTCTTTCATCAGTAGTAGCTGGTAGGCATGCGCCGCCGCGATTTTGGGTGGGGATATTTTGAATCGGAGGGCTTGGCTCCTGGCGGGCCTGGTTAATTTGGTCCGTGAAATGGTCCTTGGAGTGATTTGATCTGCGGGTGCCTATGGATTTCCCGGAAGCAAATCGTGATATGATATCCAAGATTGATTTGATAGTTTAAGTGACTGTTTTAGACTGTGTGGATACCGTGGCTTTCGTTAACCGCTGTTTTCTGGGCATGCAGAGTGCAGAGTTTCCTTGTAAGCTGATGTTGTTTAAATGGGCAGAATGTTACATTGTTCGTTATATAGTATCTTGATGTACTAGTGGATCGCTATTTATTTCCTGGGAAAAAGCACTTTACATGCTTAAGCTGGGATGCTGTTTAGATTTTGATTTCCTGATAATCGTGCGAAACAATCTATTTCTTATAGCCATTTCTAGAGAAGATGAAATGAGGCAACATAAGTTACATTTGGTGTGCTGTCAAATGTTATGTTATTTGGTCAGGAATGTACCTTCTCTTTGAGCAAAGCGCTTAAGGGTGAAGATCAGTAGTTTAGATAATATTTTCTGGATAGAAGATGAGCACATGTTCTAGTCTTCAATTAAAAAATAATCTTTTAGCTAGCATGGTAAGAAAAATAGTTAATGAGCCTGAGGAATGAGGATGTTTGCTTACTCCACTAATAGTACTTCTGAACTTTTCTTTGCAGGTCCGAATGCTTCATTCCTTAGATCATCCGAATGTTCTGAAATTTTACTCATGGTACGTTTCTAGGGGACTAGTGTTGTGGTGCAATAATGGCAAGCAGTTCACTTTTTAGAACAATAATGACAAGTATAGTCTGGCAGTTTGGTTGCAATCATCGTTATTGTTCCCTTAACATTGTACTACAAACCATACTTATGCCTGTACCTGTTGTACCAGGTACGAAACCTCAGCTCATTTTTGGTTAATACTGGAGTACTGCGTTGGTGGAGACCTAAAGGGCTTGCTTGAGCAGGTATCTCGCTTGTCAGTTTAAGCAGCATACCATTTTCTAGTTCAAAGCACGCTGTCAGCTGTTTACTTGTACAATAGCACACGTTTGTATTTGATTTGCATTTGCTTCATTTACAAATATTTCTCTCTCTCTCTCTCTCTGTGCATGCTGAGATGTCTTTTGTTTGCTCCTTAAGAAATTTTTTAAAAAAACATGTTCATTTTTTTTAGCTTATAGCTGGTACTCCTTCCATCCCAAAATATAACAACTTCTTCACCTACATTCTCTTCTTAACCAATCACAACCTTCCCCCATTTAATTTCTCTATTTACTTTCTTTTCTCAACCAATCACAGCCTCCCCTCCCCCTCAATCTTCATACGGGCTTAACCCTAAAACTTCTTATATTTTGGGATGGAGGTAGTAGAATGGAAGGAAAATTCATTGTCAAACTGACAGGTTAAAAACTTTTGCTTTGGCTGTCTATTTATGTACATGTCACATTTAAGTATGCTCTAATATGTACCCAAATTTTTAGTATTTTGTGTTAGTATATTTGCATATGAACATTTTACATTTCTTCAATGACCTGCAGGATAAGAAGCTGCCTGAAAATTCTATACATGACTTGGCTTATGATCTTGTGAAAGCTCTTCAGTAAAGTTTCTTTCCTTGTTTCATTATTTCTACTGTATGATGTGTGAAATCTTATTTGTCAAAACAATTTGGACTTTAGGTTCTTGCATTCACAAGGAATTATATATTGTGATCTGAAACCATCAAATGTTTTACTTGATGAATCTGGGTGCATGAAGGTACTTACTGGATCAAATAATTCATACAGTGAGGCAATAGCTTGTAACTAACGATATATATTTCTTTAATTTTCTAGCTGTGCGATTTTGGATTAGCAAGGCGTTTGAAAGACATAGAGAAGACCAATCCTGGAGATGTGAGCTTCCATTTTCCTTTTGTATCTCATTTCATTTCCTTGTGTTTCCATCTACATTTGATTATTTTCCCAGCTTAATTTCTCCTCGTGTAGGTGCCGCAACCTTTGAAGGGGACTCCATGTTATATGGCTCCTGAGTTGTTCCAAGAGGGAGGAGTGCATTCATATGCTTCAGATTTCTGGGCACTTGGTTGTGTATTGTATGAATGCTATTCAGGAAGGCCCCCTTTTGTGGCTAATGAATTTACCCAGCTAGTCAAATCTATAATTTCAGATCCTACACCACCTTTGCCTGATAACCCCTCAAGATCCTTTCAAAATCTGATCAATTGCTTACTCATGAAAGATCCTGCTGAAAGATTACAGTGGTCTGAACTATGCGAGCATCACTTTTGGAGGAGCAGAATGTCAATTATTCCTTTACCTCCTCAGCCTGCCTTTGACAACATGGTCGACCTTTCTGCTACACCATATTTAGTTGAGAGAAATGGTGATAAACCTTCTAGACAGTCCACACCACCCAAGCCCCGTGATGGCCTACGGAAGAAGGACGAAAATTCTGCTAAGGTGTTCACCCCTGTTAAGAATATGCTAAGTGGTAAGAAAAACAATGCAAAACCTTCCTGTAAGGCTGATGGATTGAAGGGTGTAAATATCCTCAGGATGTCTCGTGTAGCTAAGAGGAATTTGCAGAGAGAAAAAGACAAGGAGAACTACAGGCGACACCCTACAGAAGCTTCTGAGAATGATACAGAAGTTAAGATTGAAAACAATGATATGGAACTTGATTTTGGTGAAAATCCAGAAGGTGATGCACCTGATGACAATGATGGATCAGACAATCCTGGATCCGCAGAAGATGAAAAACTTTCCACTCAAGGCACTGATGGTAATGAAGAGAACTGCATGAGTAATCAGATGGATATGCTCACAGATGAAGGCCCAGTTAAGGCTGAAACCATGATAAAAACTGAACATAATTGTTCAGAAAATCTTGATGTGGTGGCCACTCCACCAAGTATTTGTATGAGGAAAGCACAACGAGCAAAGACAACTTCAGGTGCCGCAGCTGGTTCCGAGCCATCTGACATCTCTGCAGCATTCTGGCATCCAACAGATCTTGCTGTTAAACCAGTTATGCCTGGTAGGAAAGGAGATAAAGCTGTAGAGACAGTCCCTATGCTTCCGTTTGAAGCTCTTCCTGCTGTTGATTATATTAAGTTGCCACGGGAACAAATGAATGCATTCAATAGTCAGATACTTCAGAGTTTAAGTGGTACTTTTCAGGTTTCAGAGAAACAGAATATCATCAAATACCTGGAGATGTTAAGCATCAATTCTGATGCTGCAAATATAATCACAAATGGTCCAATTATGCTGTTGCTTATAAAAATGCTCCGTCTGTCAAAAACTTCAGTATTGCGTGTCCAAATTGCTTCACTTATGGGATTGTTGATACGCTACTCCACTATCCTTGATATAGAGCTGGCAAGTTCAGGGATTTTTAATGCACTATCAGATGGTCTAAGGGACAAGCATGATAAACTCAGGCGATTCTGTATGGCAACACTAGGAGAATTACTGTTCTACATTTCTACTCAATCTGATCAAGATACCAAAGAAATCAATGCCCAAGAATCCCCTTTGAAGGATAACAGGGCCACAGCTTCTTGGCAGGTCAGAAACTCAAAATGATGAGTATGTTATGTCTGCATGCTTAGTAATTTATCTGCATGTTGTTGGGTCATATGCTTAGGCTATCTTATATAGTAACCTGCAGTTAGAAGATCAATGGCAAGTTACTGGTGCTAGAAATATCTAAGAGCTTTTACTGATTCAATCTGATTCCTGCATGGAACGTAGGTGCCTTGCTCACTGTTTATGTTATGAAGTGGAAGCTCCTTTTGGCCTCTTATGTGTGGCGCTTGTTGGGAAGTGTTCTTCGTGGGAAGGGTCATTTGACCCTTTCTTTGTAAATATTTCTCTCTTCTCAATGGAATGACGCTTAGTTCTGCGTTTTAGAAAAAAAAAGAAGTGGAAGCTTCTTTCAGTTGAAAGTATATACTGCATTATTGAATTTTTCACATAACCACATAATCACACTGCCCACCTTCATAACTATTACTATAATATATGGACTAAATTATGTTTATATACATGCTCTTTTCTTTGATTTTGTGTCTATGCACATGTTTATTGTTAGTCAAACCTGTATGATTTTACAGAAAACCACATACCAATCCTGTTCAATGGCTAGCCTAATCAGGAGTGATTCAAATTACATCTATCCGTTAGTTTTAGTGATTGTATGTCCATGAATTGAGGGTGGATCTCTTTGTCAATTTCTGTTTCTGCAACTTGATAACCTTGCTCTCACCTATAGGTTGAACTTTGCCTCTCCAAAGGGCCTGATGAACTTAAGGGACATAATTCCATACCAATTTTCTTTCAAGTGTTTTAACCTGCTTTCCTTTTAATGACTATATTCTTGTATTTGTGGAACCATATATAGGTCAGCTATGTAATAGTGTTAATGAATTAATGAGACCTTTACTTTCATATCTTACTGGTCAAGTAGTATATATATCATATATATATACATACATGTGAGGAATCCTTTTATCTTGATTCACAACTATGACATTAATTATTGTGTTTTATTAATGATTTTACTTTGCAAGTTGTGCAGGTTCCAAGTTCTGTAATTGCGCTGGTGTCATCAATCTTGCGTAAAGGTGAAGATGATCTAGCCCAGCTTTATGCTTTACGAACCATTGATAACATCTGTAGCCAAGGGACAGATTGGACTTCACGTTTCGCTTCCCAAGATGTAATCAGTCACCTGTGCTACATCTATAGAGCAACTGGTAAGCAGGAGAATACAAGACTTATTGCAGGATCTTGTTTGGCACGCTTAGCTCGCTTCAGCTCATCTTGTATTCATTTAATACTGGAGAGGCTGGCCTTCAAGGATATCGCATGCACACTCATTAAAGGCAATTCACGTGAGCAGCAGATCAGTTTGAATCTTCTGAATTCAGCACTAGTTAACAGCCAAATCATACCAACCATGAACCGCTACATTCAGTCGTTAACAGAAGAGAAGCAGTTGGTTCCTGGACTCATCTCTCTTATTGAACAGGGAACTGATGTTCTGCGTGGCAAAACCCTTCTATTTGTTGCTCTTCTTTGCAAGAACAGTCGAAGATGGCTTCCTCATTTCTTTTGCAATGCAAAACTACTATCAGCAGTTGATAGATTGGGAAAGGAGAAGGAAGGCTTCATTCATCAATGCACAGAAGCATTTGTGCAGTTGGTTGCTTCATTGGTCCCAGGCATCCTTGACACTGTCTCTAGTGATATACAACAGGTTATGGGAGGCAAGCGTCATGGAGCTGCTACTGCTTTAACTGGACGAGCTCATCCAAAGAGCATAATTCATTTGTTTCCTGTTATCCTTCATCTTCTTGGGAGTGTTTCATTCAATCACAGAGTTGTGACGAGCCATGTATTGCTTCAGTTGGCAAATCTTATGAAAATTTTGGAAGCACCATTTCAGGTATGATCTAAGAACTTCACGCACGGTTATGCCATGATGAAAAAACATGACGACCACATTCATTTTGTAACTGCACTTAAGTGTCAAATCAATCCCATCCTTTGTTTTGATGCTGCGCTGTGGCTCTTGCCTTAACAGTTTTGCATTACTACTGTATTTTTTAACATATCTTGACCTTATCTGATTATTTACGTGTCTTATACATCCAGGCTCGGGATGATTTTCAAATGACACTATTGAGGGTTCTTGAGGCAGCCACGGAGGAGCCTTCTGTTATACTTAATGAACACAAAATATTCACAAGTCGAATCCTTCCAAGCTTATCCGTCTTGTACAAGGGCAATAAAGATGGTGATGCCAGATTCCTATGTTTAAAGATACTGTCCGATGTGATGATTGTGATCTTCAGTGACTCTTCATTGACGTCTAATGAGCAAACAGTATCTGACCTGGAAAAGATCTCTCAGAAGTATTTTCTCCCCATGTATCCATCATTTGCAGAGGATGAAGATCCAATACCTATATATGCCCAGAAACTTCTGGTAATGCTGATGGAGCATGATTATGTTAAGGTTTCTGATATTCTCAATGAAGCAACAGTATCCCGGTGCTTTGAATTTTTGCTAGGAGATTTGTCTAATGCAAATGTAAGTAATGTCAAGCTTTGCTTTGCATTGGCATCTGCTCCCGATATGGACACCGACATTCTTTCTCAGCTTCAAGTTGTCAGAAGAATAGGGAACCTGCTGGAGTTTGTGACTGCAAAAGATATGGATGATTTTCTAGAACCAACCTTGGAACTTTGCAGAGCATTCATTATCCGGGGCATCAGCAGTGACAAAATTGTGGCCCTTTCCAAAGAGCCCGCACTCCTTGTTGATAGTGCCTTCAGCATGAGCATTGCTGTCGATCAACAATCATGCGTCATGGATATATGCGACTTTGGTGGCAACATGGGCATTTTCCTCGACCTAGTTGGAAGTTCAGATCCACATATAAGCGATTTGGCATCAGACTGCTTGGTGCTGTTACTCAAAGCAGCACCTCGGGAGGCTACGGTGGGCTTGCTGACCAATCTTCCTAAACTGAGCGTTGTTCTGGACCTGCTGAAGCATGGCACCTGCCTAAGGCTGACTCGCCTGCTGTATTGCCTGGCCTTCTCCTGCAGGCAATATCTAGCGCAAGGAATGATCGTGTCGATATCTTTGTCAGCCTTGATGCGAGTAGAAGCACTCGTGTCGGCATTCAAGGGTTCACATGATGGCTGCCTTGCTGACGCCGCCTCATATTTGGGCGCTGAACTGCAGCGTTTACCTCGCTGTGGTTGAGCCGAAGTTTGGTCAGGTGCTGGCTTGGTTGGCATTGTGCAAGTGATGTTCATAGGGATCATAAGAGAGGGCCTCAGCCTTGTATTTCTTCACCGTTTCTTGCACCAAGCTATGATCATGGGTTCTCACCATCCGAAGTGATGACTGATGAACCATCCGATTGGCTGTGTGATCATTTATCTATATGCAACGTGGAGCTGCTGTTCTTTCAGTATACCATTTCTGGCCAAATCTGGAGAGGCAGCTTGTGGCCAAAACCCTTCCTGTATTTCCCCTGTGCCAATTTTGGTTGGCGTTTCATCGGTTTTCAGTTTCTCACCATGTAATGCTGTAGAGTTTCATAGCCCTTAAAATCATGTATATTTGTACACTCCCTTTTACTTTACCAAGCAACGGGGTGGAAATTTATTGTTATGAATGCCTGTAAAGCTCTGTGAATCTGTGAACCAACAGGACTATATTGGAGCATGGTGCTATCAACCTAGCTGCCGCTGTCTAATGGTCCCTTTTACTAGATAATTCCAGTGTTCTCGGTTAGGAAAATCTACGGTGATTATATAATCATCACTGGCCAACCTTTTCTCTTCTGAGTTTTGATCATACCATTTTTTTTCAGATGATTATTTACCTGGAATTGAACAATATGCTATGTGACCGTGACGTACATGATTCCTCTTTCTATAACACGACAATAATAATGTTCTAAGAACATAGCTAATGCATTTTTCCCCTCATCTCCCTTATCACGTTTGTGTAAAAGTTAGTACTAATAACAAAGTTAAGACAACAAAGATCAGACAAGAACTTGGCATTCATGTTTGAACCCTGTCCACCTCTTTTTGCCGTTCTGCATACGTGTGGTGTGTGGTGTGTGGAGCAGCAGAAGACGGCGACTCTGAAATCTGACCATATAATGCATCTTCCAGGTCTTTATTATATATGTGTATCTCAAGATCAAAGATGACGAGTGCACAGTTGAGTTGATCTCGTCTCCGTCCCAGAATATAACTTTTTGACATAGGCAGGTCTTTTCTCCCTCATTTGCACTGCATCTTCCACACATTTGTTTGTTTCCACAATTCGACTGATTTTTTTTCTTCACAAAACTGGTCCTTGAGAATGACCTGCCCCTGTGGTTACAAGAGTTGAATAGAATCAACTGAGAGCGACTTGTAGTAGAAAATATTTGTATTTTTAGTTGATTTAGTTTGAACCGGAGTGACAAATGGCCATTGAGAAAGATGAATAAAATCTAGGGAGAGCTTCTTTGTCCACGGTAGTTCAGTAACCGTGCCTAGTGAAATTTCGTCCACAATTTGACTCATAAATTAAGCCAGTGAAGTCCAGGCCGTGTATTTGGTATACAAACGTTGAGCCTTAATTTGGACTGATCACTTGACTAATCGTCCATTAACCACAGATTCTTATTGTATTATATCAGCAAGCTTGTGTTGGATCACGCGTGTCCATTAAATTAGTTTGTTAATCACGATTAATTAGCTATGGTAGGGATCGATCAAGATCAAACGCAGGGTATATGTTTGTTCAAGCGTGCTTTGCACCATATATTTTTGTAATATTACAACTCGATCTCATGTCATCTTTTTTTAGAGGATTTTTCTTTTTTACATTTTTTATGATGTCAACGGTGTGACATAATGAGGATTGTATACGCACATGCCACCGGATTTAATTTCTTCAAGCCGTTGTTGCAACTTGCCTATGTGCTATGAAATTTGTGATAATAATAATCGTACCACACCAACCTTTTTCTCCATAATAATACATGATAATTAATTAGCTACGTCCTTGTCAAATTGCTAGGGGAGTGATTTTTCTTGGTGATTTCATATGATCCATGAATACAAAAGAACAGTTATTTAGACAGGTGTAAATAAATAAAAGAGACGTGTGGTCCATGAGACTGACAGGTTACAAGTGGAAAGATCCACAAGAAATTTATTTTCTCCATTTCTCTAAATTTAATAAACAGCTGGAAAGATTTCCTCTCCAAAATTTTTTTTTTAAAAAAAACAGCTGGAAGTATGTTTAGATTTGTATCGAATCAAACACCAATCAACTTTTTTTTCTTGATGACTATATACTTGTACTTGTTATGTTCGGTGAACTGGCCTCTATCAAGAGTGATTTTGTCCATACACACACTAAAAAAAAAAAAAACTCTTTCAAAAGTATAAACTACCAACTACATATAATCTCCAATGAAATCTTCCCACTATCTAGGCTTGATATGTCAATGAACAGTTCCCACAATTCAGCCCGGAATTGAAATACCACCAAACTCGAGCAAAAACCAACCAAAACGCCGTACCATTTCGTCACACGGTTAGACCACAACCACTATGTGATCACACACCATAAAATATTAAAAATACACTAACCACGCATCACCTAACTGCAAAAAACGTGTTTTACTTTTGCTAATCACATAATTTTATTGCTAATCGAGATTACCAATTTAGTTAAAACTAACTGGACTTGGTTCTGGAAGTTGACCCAGAAAGAGAGACAGAAAGCATCCATTCTCTCACACACACCTCGATAAGTCGATATAAATAGAGTAAGATGATTAGTGTAGAGAGAGATCATTATTAGCATTCGATCTGCTTCTTCGCCATCGAAGTAATTAATCAAATCGGAGGAGATCATTAGCAAATTATCAGCTTGGGCTTCATGGGGAAGGTGTGCCTTCTCGTCATCGACGAGAACCTCTTCAATGGCATCCTCCTCGTCGCCATCGTCGTCATCATGTTCATGCTGCTCGCCGGCGGCGGCGCGCCGCCGCCGCGCCGCCGCGGCTTCTGCGTGTACTGACTGACCGGCCGGCGAGTGAAACCATGAACAACACTGCAGGTGCAGGTCGAGCTTGATTTCTAAGCTTTTAATTTGTGTTTTTTTTTTCTCCTTTTTTTTTCTTTTTCTTTTGTCCGTGCGATGAAGCTAGCTCGTGATTTCTTCTTCTTCATGTTTTCGGGAGTAATTAATTAACGTGTTCTTGTGTAGAAATATATGTGAAGGATTTTCTGTTTGATCAGGGCATGTCTTGGAGGAGTTTGCAGTTCATAACTTTTTTTTTTTGGTAAAAAAAAAAGTTGAGTTGTTGGTGGCAAGTGGCAACGGTGGTCTCTCTGTAGAATTGTTGTGTAATTTGTATCAATATATATTGTATATAGTAACAACGGATATTTATTTGAGATTCATTGCATCTTACAGGCTTATGGGTTAGTTACTTTGTATTGATTTCTTTGAATAATAGTGGTTTATGTGACCCAACTGTTAACGATAAAATTTGATTTTTTCCATCAACACCAACATAAACCACTTCTCCTTCTGTACCAAAATATAAACAATTTTAAATGAATGTGACACATCTACTGTGAATCTGGATAAATTTTATATCTATATCCGTAGTATTAGAATATGTCACATTTATCCGAAATCTTTTATAATTTGGGATGGATGGAGTATTATTGAATAACAGTTGTTTGTGTGATCTCCTAGAAGTAATACACGGTTCATGTGTTATTTTTTAAGAGCGGTTTTCTCTTGGTGCATAACGGTATAATGCATTTTGATGTGTTCCATAGAGCTGCTAGCTCTACAATGATCGTTTGGTGAAAAAGGTTTTGTCATTTGATGAATTTATAGCAAGTTTTCGTTCAAAAGAAAAGGAGAAGTTTCATAGCTAAGTCCGACCACAGATTTCCACATCGTTTTCACGAGCGAGCAATTGATTAAATTAATTAATGGGAAAATTTGAACCATGCCACATAAATTTTGCAAAATTTGATTAATTCGTGTAGTTTAACACTACCTCCATTTCTAAATATTTGATACCATTAACTTTTTAACACATGTTTGACTGCTCATCTTATTTAAATTTTTTTATAAAATATGTAAAACTATATGTATGCATATAAGTATATTTAACAATAAATCAAATGATAGGAAAATAATTAATAATTACTTAAATTTTTTGAATAAGACAAACGGTTAAACATATTTAAAAAAGTCAACGGCGTCAAATACTCCCTCCGTATTTTAATGTATGATGCCATTGACTTTTCAACCAACGTTTGACCATTCGTTTTATTTAAAATTTTTGTGCAAATATGAAAATATTTATGTCGTGCTTAAAGAATATTTAATAACGAATCAAGTCACAATAAAATAAATGATAATTACATAAATTTTTTAAATAAGACGAACGGTCAAACGTTGGACAAAAAGTCAACGGCGTCATTAAAATATAGAGGTAGTATTTAGAAACGGCGGGAGTATAATGTAATGACAGATTAAGCAAATTAAGAATCGTCCACTGCTCCGTCGTCAATCCACATGCGAAAAACCAGTGTTTTTACAGCGATTCCCTGACTAATTCACAGCCTCTGCTGGTTACACCTACCTTTTTTTTTCCTTTACTTTAATAGCTAAATGGTTTTGTGATAATTATTGGAGGCTACAAACAAATTCATTGACTATTATAAAGTTGAAAAAATTGATTTAAAACAGTTTGTAAAGGAATTTGTTTATAGAAAGTTTTTGCATGACAAGGATGAATAGCAACAGCTCTGAAACAAACACTGCAGAGGAACAGATCTCCTTCCACACTGCATGCCTGTTATGCAAAGCATCACCATTCAGCATCTCTCCTCATCTCTTTGTTTTTTTTTCACAAATCTATCACACATTTACCTGTGCTGCATGATGAGAACAGAGAATTGCAAGGGAGAGTTAACACCAAGAATCATCTGAAAAATGTATAAGCTGTAGCACTTATGGTACCAGCTCATGTACATGGATTCACAAGAGACATCCAACTACAGAAAAGAAATATATGTATGCTCTGCATCTGCCACTTCTGTTATGAGGGGGTTATTTACATGTACATATCCCCTCCTGCGACTTTAACCTATAGAAGCTAAATTATCTATATGATGAGAAATAAGAATCCATGTATGTAGTGAAACAAGTCTGGATGTAAATTTAGTAGACTTCACCGGTGAAATCTCCCAAGCGCTCACTCTGGTGTAGGTCCACAGAAGAACTCACTGATCATTATTATTCGCTATCGTCTTCTAACAGTTATTATTCGGTCCGCGGTTTCTTCAAAACGTATGCAATCTGTGGCATACCTTGTCAATTCTGTTCCTATGATCAAATGAAGCTAGCAGCGAGAAGCTTTTCGTTGATTACCGCATTTTGCTCGTCTTCTCTTGACGTCTCCAAGCCTCGACCCATACATTTGCCTCTGCAAGCGCACGCTCTCTATCAGCGCCGTTCGGGGTAACTCTGCCCCTTCCCGGTCGATGCGAACTGCTCCGGCAATTCTCCTTGACTTCTTGTACCATGTGATCCGTCCCGGCAAGCGGTGGCATATGAACTCCATGTTGACTGGGCAAGGAAGTGTCTTGGTTAATCTGATTATCCAGCACTCTTGGTACAGAAGGGCCAGGCAGGGTATGGCGAGCAGCAGTGTTCTGACTTTCATGTGTTTGTGATGCTAAATAAGAGAGAGCAACAGCAACCTCCCTAATGGAAGGGCGGTTCTTCGCTTTCTCCTGCAGACACATTGCTGCAATAGCCAAAGCCTGGAACAGACCCCTTTTCGGGAAGTGGCCGTGTAATGAGGGGTCCGCCATCTTTGGAAATTTCCTTTGGTCTTTGAACAATGGACGAGCCTGCAGACAAATAGAACATTTAACATTAAAAACATAATAGTATTCAAGGGATCAAATGATGAAAAAGGGACAGATCCAATTTAGTAGGACACCCAATAAGTTAGATGAACGGTCATTTAACTGGTACTGAGGGGGTATGTTAAGAAACAGATAAGATTCATTTCCTAGAACGAGGAAACTCCTGGACACACAAGATTGAGACATTTACTTCCTGTTCCATAGGCATTAGGATGCATACAGGGAGGTTAATTAATAATATAATTTACTTTGTTCTCAGAACATAGCTCACACTATATATTTGAAAAGGTGTACATAGCACCAGTACCCCCACCCTTGCACCGTTAATTAAATGTTACTAACTTCGACCAAATACCATTTTTGATCCTTATCCACACAGCACAATGTTGTTAATGATAGCTGTAGTATAAAAATTAATCACAGAAGAAAATGTATTGTAGCATTTTCTATAATTCCAGTACGCCATTATTGTTTCAATGTTGCCCTTTAAACAATACATCTTTTATCCTCATTTTGTTTTTCTTTGTGAAAATATGATCATTGTGACCTTTCGTAACATTCTGGTATTGATAGAAACATACCCATGCAACCAAGTCTTGTTCATCAGGTGGCCGATTGCTGTCAAGCGCTCTTCGTCCAGTAATTAGCTCAAGAAAGACCACACCAAAACTATAAATGTCAGATTTGATCGTAAGCTTTCCAGTCGAGAGGTACTCAGGAGCACAATAACCATGTGTCCCCATGACACGAGTTGTCACATGAGTCTTATCACCAACAGGACCAAGTTTAGCAAGTCCAAAGTCAGACAACTTTGCATTATACCCTTCGCCAAGAAGAATGTTTGACGGTTTAATATCCCGGTAAATAACTGCTGGAATGGCCTCATCATGCAGATACTCCAAACCAGCAGCTGCATCAGCAGCAATCTTCATCCGTGTTGTCCAATCTAGTGGTTCTTGGCCGGGTCTGAGATCTGTAAAAAGCATCGGCAGCAAATTTTTAACAGGGTATCCAGTAATAATACTTAAGGAAATTAAGTAGCTTACTGGAATGTAAAGAACAATTTAATTCTTTTTGAACCATGTGGTCTAATGGTAGAAACGGACATGAAGGGTGATAAACAGCGACATGCTGAATCTATCTCTTTATTATTGAATATACACTGCAGGGTCCTCTCGTCAAACCAAAAAAAAAAAAGTGGTTATGGATGGTTATGAAAAGTTATGCCCTCGAATCCTCACTGAATTCTAGACAGATCTGCCTAAAGTTGAACATTCCATGCTAGCTTTAGCTTTTGATCAGATGCATAAGACAATGGAAACAAAACTAATCTGGATCCTAGACAGGTCTACCAAAATACTGGATAATAATTTTCAATGCCAAAAACAATAGCACCTTCATCATACATAATAAAAAGGTCAAATGATGTTTTAGCAAGGCATAGTAATAGCCATTTGAAGGTAAAAGGTTGCGATGTTTATCATTTAAAGGAATTACTTCAAGCCATCTTCAGATACAACAGATTATAATAGAAATTCAAATTTAGAAAATATGATGGATGGAACATTGAAGAAAACCAATTGTTTTCTTTGCCAAGATAGAATGCAGAAAACACACTTCGAATTCAGGGAAATCCAAAAGTACAGAAGTTGTGAACTCTTTCTATATTGAAGTTATTATGTACTATCAGCTACTGATCTTTAAAATGCTGAAAGAGGTGCCAAATTATCAGCTCTTTATTTTTTTTTATTTCTTCTCACCTAGAAGACAGTTCTTTTCACCATGTTCAAGTGGTTAGATGTGCTTTAAATCACGATGATGTAACAATGAAAAATATAAAATGTTTTCTAACACAACTACAGATTCTTAGGGAACTTTCAGGTTTTTCTAGGAGCTAACAGAGGATATTATACAATTTCCAATAAAATACTAACCGTGAAGGCGGTCTTCTAGTGATCCCAATGGCATATATTCATAAATAAGCAGGCGCTGATCTCCATCCACACAGTAACCAAACAACTTGACTAAATTAGGATGATGCAAGAGACTGAGCATGAGAACCTCCACAAGGAATTCTCTGTTTCCCTGAAGCCCATTTAGATCAAGCTGTTTAACTGCAACAACCTGCGATGCAGCAAATGCTGGAACCAAATTAGAAATTTATACAAAGGGTATATAGCATAACAATACTTTCTGTTAACATCAATAGTCTAAGCATTCCCATCAATTTTGACCAAAGGAACAGTTTCTTTTATCAATATCACAAAGTATTCAAAGCAGTGTTGTTGAAAAAGCTTGTTTCATGCTCGCGGCATAGCTTGGGACTCGAAGTGCATAAGGAGTTGGGTGCTTGAGTAGAAAATACAAACCTGTCTATCATTGAGAAATGCTTTATACACACTGCCGAATCCTCCTCGGCCCAAAAGGCACTCCGTGCTGAAGTTGTTGGTAGCATCAGCAAGCTCGCGCAAAGTGAAGATCGTTGCTTCACCATGCCCCTTATTTCGCCGAATTCCAACCATATCTATCGACCCTTCAGTCTTCAGTGGGCAACTCTCTGACGACTTTGAATATTCCACTGTTATTGAGAAATTTCAAGGGAAGAAAAGAACACGTCCACTGTTAATGAAGATAGACTCGATACATCCTGAAAGAGAAACAGAGTTGGAAATCGAAAACAAGAATAGTAGAAAATTAGCGATTTTCTTCGAGTCCACCCAGACTGTTTCCTTTTCTACCACAGTGTTCGTCTTCTTCATAATTTTAATTCCGCTTAAACTAATTCATGTTCTTTCTATCCTCTTCTCCCGGTGAAATTACGCACTCCAAAGTCCAAACTTACAAACAAACTTCTAATTTTGGATCCTCTCGTGTGACTTCAGATGAATTGCACAAATAATTGCTCCCACCACAAACCAAAAGGGGAAATGAGCAAACAATTGAAAAATCCTGATGGTTGACTACAATAAGTCTAGTATCTAAATAAAAAATTAAATTAATGTACAACCCCAGCCTGAATCATCCCGAACCCAACAGCACAATCATTAAGATCAATAGATCACAAATAACTCGATTCTTTTTTCCTTCCACTGCATGAAAGAAAAGCCCCTCTTATACCTGAGAGCATATTTAGCTCCACAAGAACTGCTACAAGTGACACTAACCAATCAGCACCAAACATTTCTACTCCAATTTTTAAGCAAGATTGCAAGAACATAAGAACGAATTCCAACAAAAAGAATAATTAAATCCACCTGAGCTGACTCTCTGGCCGCTTCTTGGTTCCTCATCCTCATCTCTCACCTCTTGAGGACATGGGAACAAGCACGCCAAGAAGCCCATCGCATAAATCAGGCTCAAAAAGCTCCACTAAAGACGGATCAAAAAGACAGAAAATCTCCGATTTTTAGCCGCCCCAGCAGGAGATTTCATTCCGCATAGGGACATCGAAGGTCGCAGCAACCATCAAGAGGAGAACAAAAAATCGATTTTTTTGTTAGGACAGTCAAGGAGGAGGAGGAGAAGAAAGAAGAAGCTGAAGGAGGATGGATAGGAATGGGGTGGTGGATTGCGGCCAAACCAAAAAGTCTCCACCCGCAATAGAATTGAAAAAAGAAATCAAAGAGTGGCCAAAAGGAAAAGAAAAAACAGTGGGGATCAGACAAAGTCAGGATCGATGGGGATGTTGGGAGAAAATTATTAGGACAGTACCTGGTTAATTGAGAATTAAATTAGGGGTCTAATTTAATTCAGGTGAGAATTGCATTCACATCCCTGGATAAACTGGCTATTTCTAATTTTGACTGAACCTCTTGGAGGCCACTCTTGATCTTACAAACTTGACTAGCTAACAACCTGTTTTGGTTGGGCCTGTGCCTATGTGGTTTATGGACATGACAAAAAAGTAGGGTGAGGCAGAAATAAAGCCACATGGCTTAATCACTTAAAAAGCAATGAAGCGTCCACATTTTGAATCAATTGATAAAGTATTGGTGAAGCTAGAGAAATCTCGCATGCTAGCGATAGGTTGTTTGTCTTCTACAAACTGGTAGAAAGGAAAGTGTTTCTCCGATCTAAGATGTACGATAATACATCGAGACAAAAACACGCCAACATCTATGTATGAGCGGATAAACGTTAATATATCGAAAAATATATGTATATTTCATAAAATTTGAGAATCATCTCACTTTACAATTTCGTCATTTTATCCCATATAAACTAAAGACCCCTTTCACCATCATTGGTCTATCTGAATTCATTTGGATGTGTACCCTTTCGTCTATTTTAAGGATGCAGATATCACTGAACTTACTTTCCAGGGGCAAACCGGAATTTAAGAGTTTCTCGTGTGCAAGACAATAAATGTGCGGTCGTTCCCATCAGTGCCGTAATTACCATTTTCTAGAACGATTTCACATCACGCATGGTCTCAAAAGCTTATTTGGTCAAAGTGTATGATTTGTTTTTCTAATCAGAGATGAAGAAAAAAGAGAGGGTGATTTGTCCGATAGACGACTACAATGACGCTGACACGTCAAGGTGATAACAAAGTAACATGATGGAGATTAAGGGATAATCTGAGACTGAGCAATCCATCTCAATATACGATTGACCAAACAAAGTAACAAACCATCATGAGTTCATGACCTACTTTTTTTCTAATATAACTAACTACTCTCTCCGTCCTCTAATATAAGAGATTTTAACATTTTACTTACTCTGTTTGACCATTCATCTTATTAAAAAAATTTAAAATTATTATTTATTTTATTTGTGACTTACTTTATTATCTAAAGTACTTTAAGCACAACTTTTCGTTTTTTATATTTGCACAAATTTTTGAATAAGATGGGTGGTCAAACGTTATAAGAAAATAGTGAATGTCCCTTGTATTAGGGGACGGAGGTAGTATTTAACTGGAGACTAATATCGCCTAATACAATATGAACGGATAGTTGTAATTTTGTTACAGAGATAATAGAAAATATATTATAATACTGTCTAAAATAAATTAAAATTCATGTTGTGCAATGTGTTATCAATCCTCTTGCACAACATGAATTTGCTTGTTTTATACGTAGCTATGTAATTAGCTTGTTTTCTAATGATAAAAAGTTCAACTAAGTTTTAAGATTAACAAGAGGTGGGGTGACAAATTCACTAATACCTTCTCTTTTAATGAGTATAGATTGTGCCGGAATGTTTCCTTTACTAGACAAACACTGGTAAACCATTTTGAAATTAGTTAAGCTCTATTCTACTGCCAAGGTAAAATTGGAATATATTGGCCGCCCGGTTTGAAGTATCGAAGTTTTTGTCTCGGTCATACGAGATTGTACTGTCTTTAACGAGGTTTATGTTGGGCGAAAAAATATGTCTCAAGTAAGATAAATTCCCAAATTAAACGAATTTAACACTCCCGTATATGAAAAGATATAAAGTAATTTGATATGGTAAAATTATCCAAATTACACACTTTGGAAGACAATATAATAAAGAGTAAATTACACATTACACCAACTAAAGTGTATCTTATTTCACTTTGCACCAGGTTTAATATATACTCACTTTACACCAGAGTATATTGAAATAACTCTCACTTTGCACTTTACACTAGGTGTTGTATCATAAATCTTGTAAAATATGATTAAAAATTATTAAATAAACTTTTTAATTTAGACTATGTTTGATGAGGATTCATTCAAAAAATTTATGAAATGTCATGAAAATCCTATATATTTGATGATGTAGTTAAGTGAAACCTAAATCAGTGAACCCTGGTGTAAAGTAAAAATATGTGTTAAACTTAGTGCAAAGTGAAACAATGTACACTTTATCATGCGTAAAGTGCAATTTTTATTTACTTTCCACTTTGACCACCTTTTAATATGGAATAGATATAAATAAACTCTTATAAAATCTTAAAATTTATCGTACGAATCTGATGTAAAGAAAGGGAATCGAAATTTTTTTTTCTTACAAGTCACGACCGTGCCAACGGAGCCGTTAATCAATAAGATCCGTGACGATGAGTCGATGAAGCACGAACAACAACAACAAGTCGCTGTGTCCCTTAGAACGATATCATACTACCTCCGTTTCAAAATATTCGACACCGTTAATTTTTTAGCACATCTTTAACCGTTTGTCTTTCAAAAAAAATTTGTGAAATATGTAAAACTATACGTGCACATGAAAATATATTTAACAATAAATCAAATTTTATGAAAAGAATAAATAATTACTTAAATTTTTTTAATAAGACGAATGATCAGCCAAACATTTTGAAATGGAGGGAGTACTTCATACCACTGATGATCATCACGTCTCGATTCACCGAGGCACGACGATAGCCAACGATATCCATTTGCTCTCGACGAGAGTGAGCAGCTAGCTCGCTAGCAGCCGGCAAAATCAACGGCGGCGGCGGCGGCGGCGGAGCTAGCAGACGACGAGCAGAAGCAGCTGCGGCTGCGGCTGCGGAAGAGGGTGGCATATGGAGTGGCTTCTGCTCTCTCCACCGTCGCCAATGCAAACCACCAACATGAGGAGGAGGATGAACAGAAGGGGGGATTTTATAAGGGTTTTGATTGATGGCGGGAGTCTCAGATCGAACCAATCATTCATCGAAATCTATCTCGATCCCCAACAAACTCGCGAATAATCCTACCGACCTCCGCGAAATTAACCCCTTTTAATTTGCGCGCGGCCGCGGCGTCTTAAACTTAGCCCATTACAAACTCCAATTTATCTAATAGCCAATTTATACAATAGTTGCTTACTATACTATTAATATATGGTCCCACATGTCATATACACACTGCGTTTTAGAGTCCGTGCTGCAACTGGCTACAGATCTGTAGCCCGCTGCTCTTCTCTTTCATCTTTTATCTTATTAAAATATATTTATAGCTGGCTAATAGCCTGCTATTGTACCTGCTCTTATCCCTTGCATGGATGATGGACGAGCAGTCAATCACCCTTCATGCGAAAAAGCTAATCGTTCCCCCTCACTCCGGGGGTGTCTCCCCGGTCATCTCCGGAAGGGAGGGGGCGGCGCCTCGGATCATAATCCTCTACACTTGAAGAAGTCAAGTGACTTTATTATTAACATGTGGTCCCAAAGTCACCATGCATTTGATTGCAGAGGATCTCAATCTGTTGCCTCCTTGCATATGGTCTTTTTTCATTTCTAGTTTATTTTTGGTTTATTTTTCTTTTTTTTAATATGTGCATCACTATCTCTATCTCTATCTCTATCTCTACTACTTAAAAAATTAAAAAGGTTTCCGAGGTTTATGTCGTCAATCTAAATTTTTTTAAAAAAAGAGCGAAAAAAAGAAGCATGATTGTATGGTAAAAAGGGAAGAAAAAAACGCAAAAAAAAGTCTGATTCCCTCCCCGTGTAGTGCGCACGATTTTTTTTTTCCAATTCCTCCCAGATCGCTCCACAATTTCCAATTCTCTTCCTATATTAGTTTAGGTCCATATCACGTTTAGCCCCACTACGCTCAGATCAAGCCCACTCAGCTCAGATCTTAATCCGAACATCACAAGAACACTGAACACCCCATATTACATCCAAGCCGAACACCACAAGAACGTTACATACATTCTATATATATATATATATATATATATATATATATATATATATATATATATATATATATACACACAACCAAAATATGTAGTCGGCGGTGTGCATCGTCTTCCCCGAGAACGTCTCCATCGATCCCGGTCATGGGGACCACCTGCTCATCGTTCTCACTGGCGGCGGCGGTACCTCGCCACATACCGCTCTAAGTTACTTACTGGTGGCAAGGTCGACGGCGTCGAACCGCACCTCCCGGACCTTGCGGCGGAGGCGGGAGCGGACACCATCACCCGTGCGGTACTGCTTGGGGAGGTGGACACGGAGGCGGTCGTAGGCGCGGCGCCACCACAGCGAGCCGACACAACCGTCACGGTCCAGGCAGCTGCGCCACGCTGGCGCCCACGACGATCGCCTCCTCGTCGTGCTCGTCTATGTCTACCACCTCCTCCATGCATGACTGTTGTCGCCGCTGTTGCAATTGCCACGCGCGCCTCTTGAGGAGGAGCAGCTGCAGAGAGATAGTAGTACTACCTCGTACTGGTACGACACTTGATAAGGTAGGAGTAAATTAGCGGTGAACTACATGATGGGGGGATTTTTTTTTTTGGAGAATTACACAGTACAACGTAGACACTCACAACATACGCGCACTCACCCCTATGAACGTACGCACGTAAACCCTACCCCTATGAGCATCTTCGAAGACTGGGCCAGCAAATCATCCTGGAGATTGATGAAGTCACCGTAGGCCGACACTTGATAAGGTTGGAGTAAAATAGCGGTGAACTACATGATGGGGGGATTTTTTTTTTGAGAATTATACAATACAACGCAGACACTCACAACATACGCGCACTCACCCCTATGAACGCACGCACGCAAACGCTACCCCTATGAGCATCTTTGAATACTGGGTCGGCAAATCCATCCTGGAGATTAACGAAGTCATCATAGGCGCCTCGCTGTCGACGGGTACATCGCCTACCATTGAAAGCACAAAGCCGTTAAATCCTGAAAAATTTGCTCCCATGTGGAGTTGAACCCAAGACCTATGGTGT